CGTGTTTGTGTGTGTGCGTGTTTGTGTGTGTGTGGTCATGCATATATTACATTGTGGAGACCGAAAGTCCCCAAAATTTGACAAAAACCTGTTACTTTCACCTTTTATGAAGATATTTGAATGCAATCAAAAAAACTGAGAATACCTGAAGTGGTTAAGGTTAGGGCTAGATAGGGGGTAAAGTTGTTATATTTGGGTTAGATGGATGGATGGATGGATGGATGGATGGGTGGATGAATGCAGGGGAGTTTCTAGCTATTGGAAAAAATTGGGGGCTAAGTCAAGTTTACCTGGGGCTTGATTTTTGTATATATATTTTTTGATGGAAAATTTGTATCAGGACTAAAATATTCAGGACTATAGTCCCAGGTGATCAGACCTAACGTCACCCATGGATGGATGGATAGATGGATGGATGGAAAATCATATACAATAAAACCATCAGGGGAGATAATATAAATAATGACAATATGGTTCAAAATGACTAAAAGGTGCCATATGTCACTGTGCAGTACTGGCAATAGGATGGCATAAGGGCAGCAGTAGTATCAAGAGCAGGTAGAGGGAGAGCTGCTGCTTAGAGATTAGACATGCATGGCGGGTTTGTGTCCTTTTAGCTGGCTGCTGTCCAAGCCGCTGAACAACTGAATCACGGTGGGAATAAAGGAATGTATTCACACCCAGGGCAGAGGAGTCTGTGGCTTTGCATCTCTATAGATCCATATGAGGAGATGAACTTCATCATTCAGCATGGATAGCAGCTTGCTGTAAACACTATAGGGCTTGGGTCTCCTCAGGAAGATCAGTTTACTATTCTTCTTCCTGTAGAGTCCGTCTGTGTGGTGGTTCTGGTCCAGTCTGTCATTGGTTTGAGTGTGAGCTCCAATCTACTTATGGCACAAAACCACCATCACAGTCTCCACCTGGATAATGGCAGATGTCAGTGGTTCCCTGGTTTGCCAATTATTGCCTGACTAATTTTAAAGATTTTTGTATCTTTGCTGTTTTACAGAGCCCACAAAGTCCTGAAAACGGTAACTGTTTATCTTGCGTGCACAAGACATTTATCTGGCGATATTTATCTTGTTCACGCAAGATCATGTCTTCGATGGGCTCCATAGTTTTTATATACTTTTAGGGTTTTTTATATTTTAGTACATATTTCATTAACTTGTTTTTATTTTTCCTCCTTCTACCTTGTTTCTTACACGGTCTGAAGTAGCGGAAATTTCATAATTCACTGTTGGCACTCAAGTACCTTCCTTCATAGGACAAATGTAAATCTTCAATCTTGAATCTTGGGTCTTGCTGAAATTAATCACCATTGGTCATCTACCTATTTTCCTTCTGTCACTGGTGTAGTTACTCTCATTTTACTACAAGAGTGTAGAAAAAGAGTGTAGAGTTAGGAGTTGTGTCCTCCTATACAGTGGTAGATGGGGAAAGAGGGTGTAACTATGAAAGAGAACAAAAATTGAAAATGCTAGAATAAAAAAGAAAACAGAAAAAGAGAAGGAGCGAGAGGGAGGAAGAAAGAGAGTGAGAGAGAGAACGAATGTGGTTTGGGATTTAAATGTGAACCAGGCCCTTCCGAGAGGAGAGGGAGAGAGAACTTAAGCGACGCGGGACTCTTAGCTGCTAGAGAATAAAAGCGGGCTTTCATTTGCTGATGTGTATCTTGGAGTGAATTTTGCCTTCCAGGGGAAAACACCGCAAAAGTACAACGAAAGAAATGGATAAATGAAAAAGAAGAACTTCTTGTAAATCGGTCAATTCAAATCAAAAACAACAATTTAAAAAAAAAAAACGCGAATGATTTTATCGATGGTGAAATTAGAATATATACAATCTGGACATTGTGGATCTGCGTAACTACCCCAGTCACTGAACAGTAGCCTATTAGTGAAATCAAATAGCGATGTCACAACTGGATGCGTAGCGCTTAACTAGGCGACTTAACAGCCGAAACAGGTGTTGGATTTGCCTTAGTGTTTGGGATGAATGCACACCTGGAATTTAATAAGAAATATTTTAAAATTACAGTAGTCTAGGAATGGATTAAATGAGGTAAGAAGGCATAAACTTGTTTAAATATAAAGCCTGAATACAGATCAGATTACATTATAAAAAATAATCTAATACGGTTAAACGAAATAATCGAACATTTTGAAATTACGTTATGCATTAGGCTATATAAAGAGTTAGCATGAATTACGTTCAGGCTGCAGTGAGAAATTAATTGTTTTTATACAATTAGGAAAACGTATAGTTAAAAAGCCCGGTTCAGCACTACATTTGTTTACAATAACTGCATTTTCTTTTTATTATGTGATCTTGCAACAACTAAGTTAAGTAGTTCGTGTATAGCAATAATGGAATGCCAGTGGAGCTGCAATTAAAGGGAGCCCGAGGTAATTAACGGGACTGGTCAGGATCTATACACGTGCAGAAAATGGAGCCAAGCCGACTCTTCTTCCTCTTGAAGTCCGTAATACTTCTGAAAGGTAAGCGGCGCTGCAATGGATCTTTCATTAATTAAGATAATGTCGTTAATTAGTTCCTTACATGGACGGGAGACTTAATTTGTATTAAGTGATACGACGCTATGATGTCAAACAACCTAACTGTTTTTCCGTATATATGCGTAGCCTATAAAACATAAAAGCAGTATCTGCAGTCCCCATTGAACTGTACAGCTGTTTCCTTAATTTACTTTGTAAGACGATCGAGTCGTGTCATTTTTTGGACCTTTCTGCGCTGGTCTTTCCTACAGAACTTCCTCTCTAAAGGGACACAAGCCACAATTTTAATTTTCAGGGATTAAAAGAATTTTTCTGTATTTTTATCTTACATTTCCATCCTAACGTCTATATTTAATTTGGCCTTTCCCGTTGGTTCCTCAGTAGAGGTATTTTAATGTTATGATTTCTTAGCTTATTGTTGGGTTGTGCGTGTGTTATTTTTGACCATATTCGGAGCAGTATAATTGACTTGTTCTGAGGAACTAGTAAACAGGTCTCTCTATTTTTGAAAAGTGGTTTTGGCTTCGTGTTGTTATTACTGCAACGATGAAGTCCATTTGAAATTCCCAGCATAACTGGTCACGCCGTCAGGCTGTACCCGCTGGGTGTGTACTAACCTGCTATCCTCTGACTATCCGCCGTTCAGCCACGGTTATTCAACAAGTTATTTTGCGCACAGAGGCCCTTACCGCGCACCCCGCCCTATTCTTCAGTCCCTGTGTGGCAGCCTCCTACAAGGCCGTCAGTATGTTTGCTTCGGAGCATATTTTTGTGTTATATGTACACACACGATTATCTCAAGCGTCGGGGACGTAGGTGTAAGAACATGGTGTGGCTATTTTTGCTGCCATTTCTTTGTATACATTTGTACAAAACACCTAGGCCTACTTAACAAATAATATATATATATATATATATAGTTTTTATTTTGTTGGGCTGAGATTATTTATTGCCTGCATCTTCGCGTCAGAGACTACAGTGTGTTTGTGTCAGTGGCTACAGTGTGTTTATAGCTGCAGTGTGTATGTGTCAGTGGCTGCAGTGTGTTTGTGTCAATAGCTTAGTTTGTTTGTGTCAGTGATTGCAGTGTGTTTGTGGCTGCAGTGTGTATGTGTCAGTGGCTACAGTGTGTACGTGTCTGGCTGCAGTGTGTTTGTGTCAGTGGCATATAGTGTGTACAGTATGTGTCAGTGGCTACAGTGCATTTGTGTCAGAGGCTGCAGTGTGTTTGTGTCAATGGCTTAGTTTGTTTGTGTCAGTGATTGCAGTGTGTTTGTAGCTGCAGTGTGTATGTGTCAGTGGCTACAGTGTGTACGTGTCAGTGGTTACTGTGTGTTTTTGACATTAATAGCTTTCACAGACCCTTTGCAGCCCTGAGCTGCGCTCCCGAGGTTCTCTTACGCTATACTGAAATGTATAACACAGGTGTGCGTGGGGGGATTGGGAATATTTCTTGCTTTCATTCTCTTCTTTCGCTCTATCCACCCCCCCCATCCCCTGGGAGGTCCAAAAAAAGGAAGCATCCAGTACATGACAGGCAAAACAAGAAAAGGGGAAGTCTTGCAATTTCATTTGGAGCGCAGGCCTCTGATTGGACTGCACACGCTAAGTGAAGCGAGCGCCCAGCTCCATCCCATAGTCGATGAAGAGGAAGATTAAGATTTGTTATGATCGTCTGTTTCTTCGGAGCTCCACTGACGCTGTGTTTGGCCAATCGCATCGCTCACACTTGACTAGTCTTGTCCTAAACACAGAGCCTGAGTTTAGACTCAGTTAAGTTCTCACCCTTAGGTGCTGGCCTCAGTCGTGATAATAATTGGAAAAAGAAAATAGCTTGACACTCCAGTGTTGGGTGGGGCTAGGTCGGGGTGGGCTTGGGGGGGGGGGGATGGGGCAGAACAATCACCTGCGAATTTAATAGAGGGGCAGGTCAAGCTGTAAAGCATGACACAGAAACACGTGTAGAAGAGGAAACATGAACAAATGCAGCATCTGGTGAAGACATGAAGAGCATGCCTGTGGAGAGGCTGCGGGCAGGGCGAGGCGGACAGACACAGCCGGAGAAACAGGCGCGTCTTACTGCCTGTGCTGCTCTGCAGTCCCCGCTCTCCACCTGACTCTGTTAAACAACTCCGCTGACGTTCAGAGGTGAACAGAATCTCACTTCGGACAATGTGGTCTATTGGCGTAATCGCCCCCGTGAAATGCGATGACCTGGGGAGACAGAGAGGAGCCCGGGAAAACAGATGTGACACTGGATGAGAATTTAAAGAATATTTCCGTTATATACCTCTTATTTTCACTGCTGAATCTGTCATTTCAGAGATCGGATTAAATACTATCCTTTCCGTGTTCTGTAAATGGCCGGTCTGTGTAACTCATACAGGGAGTCTCTGTGCTCATACGGGGCCCCTCCCTCGCATCGCTCCCTGTTTATTCTCCCCTCCTTCTCTCACACACCCCCTTTTCCCCTTCCCATTACCCCACTCCCTCCCCCCAACGTTCGCTTTGTAGTTCTTTGTTTTTTTACCTGTCTGTGTCCCATTTTGAATGTGTAAAAAAAGAGGCAAGGCCTAGCAATTAGCTGTAAGCAGGGCTGGACTGGGATTAAAAATGGGCCCTGGACTTCAGTGTCCCTCACAATAAATTGTGCCGTGTGTGTAAGGGGGGGTTGGTCCCCATGGTAACTTTTGTAGAGTGATACATTTTCCTGACCGGGGGAAAATTTTGCTGGCCCACATAACCATCGGCCCACTGGGAAAATGCCCAGTATACTGGGCAGCCAGTCTAGCTCTGCCTGTAACTGTGCATGCGCAGGTCTGTGTCCTCCGTGCACCGACATAGCTGCAGTTGCAGCAGCGTGTGTCTGCTTGCGGCTTGTGACCGGAGCACTTCGCTCCACTGTCCTCCTGTTCCCGCTGGCAGGCCTGTGCCACTGCTTCAACGTGGATGTGAAGAGGCCCAGGATCTTCAGCGGGCCCGATGGCGCCCTCTTCGGCTCCTCCGTGATGCAGCATGAGGCCGACGGTGAAAAGCTGTGAGCTGGCCACGGTGTCAGACAACACAATGTGATCAAATGGGATGTGACCGGTGACTTGTGTACAAATGGCAGACATTACGGGCAAAGAGAATCCAAATAATAATAAAAAAAGAGGCAGTTAAAAAAAATCACCATAAACACAAATTTTAAAATGGATGAGAAGGACAATAATATAAACCAGGGGTTCTCAATGTTCGGATGCGGACCGAGCTGCAAGCTGATCCGGACACAGCCGGTGCACCTTATGAATCAATATGGTTACTGTCAAATGGCTTAATGTGATTTGAGGTACAAAAATACAGTGTAGAACCACCAAACTTTGCACACACTAGCTGGTCATAAAAGTCATTGTCAATTTGTTCAAAGTTACTGTCAGTTTGTTTTCTTATTGAAAAGCGTTCTGGGCCTCTGACTGTACAAAAATTTTAAAACTGAGAATTCCTGATATAAATAATACTGTTGGCACAAGCAGTACCCTTGCATATAGAGTGCAGGTAAATACTTTTTCTCCTTTACCTCCCACCTATGTCGCTTTTAATAATAGTTTTTCCCTGAAACTCCGCTTTCAATTTTACAGTTTACCAGTGTTTTTCCCATCAGTTTATATAACAGGGGTCCCCAAATAATTTTCCCTGAGGTTCAAATTCCATGAGCGACACCATGCCAAGCCAAGGTCTGCTTCTGATTCAGGGGGGGGGGGGGGGGGTGGTCTCCGATGGTATAATTTGCTGAGTTGGATGGGGGGATCGATCACTCGGTCTGGATTTCTGGATTAAATTGTATGCTGGACAAATATGCAGATAATAGTGATATATGGTAGGCCTGTTTTCTGAATGGTCTGTTCCTGTGTTGGAAGGATGTTGGTTGGAGCTCCATGGGATGGGCCATCCAATCACAGGAAAGGGGACATCTACAAATGCATTGTGGGGAATGAGAGGAATTCAAACTGCACAAAACTCAACCTAGGTGAGTGTATCTGAAGGAGCAGCAATTAATTGGAGACTCATCCAAGATATCCCTAGCTCTGTGCTCTATGCCAAAGTTTTCCAATCCGGTCCTCATGGGCCCACAAACAGTCCATGTTTTTGCTCACTCCCACCTCCCAGTAAGTAAAAATACGCACTGGCAGGGAGCAAAAACATGGACCGTCTGGGGGTCCCCAAGGGGGGAACACTGCTCCATGCTGTTTGGGATAGGCTGCAGGCTCCATGTGACTCTGTACTGGATAAGCACTAGAGGGATTGCCTTCTAAACATAACAGAATTGGAACTGAAGCCATCTACAAGGAGAATATTGTTTTGTGTGTGTTTGTATACACTCACTGTAAGGTCTTGTTTGATGAAGTGTAATGGGATCAGATGGGGAGACCTAAGCAAGCCACTGTCTGTGTGTCTCACCTGTCCAGGGGAGGCAGCGCTGCAGAACGTCTCTCGGCACCTGAAGAATGCACACCTGGGCATGACGCTGAGCCCAGACACTCCGGACGGCTTCCTGGTGAGGACACATCCATGCTGATCCCATGCCTGCTCCCGTGGAACCCTGTGATGTGTTTAGTCCGTTTAGCCTGATTTTCTTATTAGTATCCTCTTCATCATTCTCTCCTCTTCATCATGGTCTCCTCTTCATCATGGGCTCCTCTTCATCACGGTCTCCTCATCATCATGGTGACCTCATCATCACGGTCTCCTTTTCATTGTAGTATCCCCTTCCTAATGGTAGCCTCTTAGCTGTGGTGTCCTCTTCACCATGGTACCCTCTTCATCACAGTCTCCTCTTCCTCATGGTAGCCTTTTAATTGTGGTATCCTCTTCATCGTGAGGTTATTATCATCGTGGTATCCTATTCATCAAGGTAACCTCTTCATTGCATCATCCTCTTCCTCATGATGGCTGCTTATCCTGCTGGTAACAAAATACCAGTGACAGAGAGTGGAAATGTGGCTACAGTGTGCAGCATGTGCTACACTGCGGGTTTGTAGATTATTAAAGGTAGATGTCAGGGCCGGAAATTCTGCAGGCCTGAGGAGGGTCATTGATGTTTGTGCTTCAGTCATCTTTTGGTGTGCGGTCCAGAAACTCCCCAGATTAAGGGCCACCTTCCTCCCCACCGCATTTCCTCTGGTCGGACACCCTGTTTACTGCGGTGTGACCCAAGGCCTGAGTCGGCTGGCCGTGTGGGAAGGGAGGCAGATAAGTCAGAGTGGATCAGCCAGCTAACAAACAAGGAACTGAAAAATAAGTGATGCACACGGGGTTGACGTGGCAGCGGAGCGAACTTATGTTGCGGACTCTGACTCAGTCTGTCGCAGAAGGAGTAATCGTGCATGTAGATTAAATCACCGTCCGGCTTTCATCCTTGACCAATTACACCTCTTCCTCCCTTGGGCTCTATCACCCCCTCTTCCTCGCCCTTCCCCATCCACGCCTGCCTTGGAGCCGGATCGCTCTGGTTTCTCGGGAAAGCACGCCCGCTCCGCGGTGGTTTAGCGGAATTGCTAGGTGGCCGCGCCAGCAGTGGTGACCTGTGCTCCGGGTGCGGAGTGACTCGCAGTTCACCACGGGGCCGGCCCGGCGTGCTTCCGTGTCGCTGGGAGTCACCCCTCCCTGAGTGTGTGCATGCCCCAGCGGTCGGGGCTATAAGGGGATCGGAATGCAGCGCTGGCCCTCGGTAATGACAGGCCTGGGAAGGCGGGGCCAGGTCTCCGAGCATCGGGCCCTCGCTGCCCGCCTGTGTGTCCATCACAGCGCTGCTTCGGGCTGCAGTAATGACAGGGCAGCCAGACATGGTGCGCTTTCACCTCCCCCACCTCCTTTCTGTGAATCTTTCCTTTTCCCCTTCATCTTGATGTGGGTTCCACTCTCATAACCCCCCCCCCCCCACCATTCCACTGTTTGGTAGAAAAGTCAAATAAATAGTGGCTTTCAGAATGTAAATTTTTATGTGAGCCCCCTCTCTCGCTCTCCCATTGGTTTTGTGCGCCTTACATTTTATTGGTCTGACTTCTGGCTCTGCGAAAGCACTTATGAAAACTGCCAACATTTGTCAACAATTGTCTCACTCTTTCTGTTTTTCCGCCTCGCATTGGGTCTCCTGCGCACATATTCACTTCATCCAGATTTTTTAATTTGATTACCCACCTGCAGTTTTGCCACCTTGTGGCATCGGTGACCCTCTCTTCTCCCGGCCCTTGCAGGCATGCGCCCCCTTGTGGTCACAGGAGTGCGGGACGTCAGTATTCAGCACAGGAATCTGTGCCTCTGTCAGCGACAGCCTGAAGCCTCGGGAAACCATCGCGCCCACTGCCCAGAGTAAGGCGTAATGAGCCGGACACAGCGCCCCCTGGTGCCACAGCTCTGATCTGGAAAAGACTGTGTTTGTATCTGTGTGTGTGTGTGTTTGTATTAGGATGTTCAACCTTCATGGACATCGTGATCGTGCTGGATGGCTCCAACAGTATTTACCCCTGGTACGAGGTGCAGAACTTCCTCAGCAACATCCTCAGCAAGTTCCACATCAGTCCAGACCAGATGCAGGTTAGTGAGCGTGTCCCGTGTGTGTCCCGTGTGTGTCCCGTGTGTGTCCTGTGTGTGTCCCGTGTGCGTCCCGTGTGTGTCCCGTGTGCGTCCTGCTATGGGCTGGTGTTCCATCTAGAGTGTGGCTTATTCTGTCCCCCACCCCCACAACCCTGACCATAAGAGGTGGAAAGGAGGATGGATTATCAAACACCCCTGTTTGACTTGTGTCTTTACATTTTTCCTATGTAAAGATTTCACTTAAATGTCATTTTGAACCTCAAAATAAAAAAAATGTTAAGAATGAGTGGTTGGCCTGTGAGGGACTGAACCAAACAAAGACGGCCTCACAGTAGGGAGTGCTACTGGTGTGGGTGGGGCTGGGGGGGGGCGCCTTCGCGTGTTTTGGTTTTGGTGTGGTGAGGAAGGGGAGGAAGGCAAGCGGGGAGGAAGCAAGGAGAAATCCAGTACTTTTGGACAGACCATAATAGTGCTAAAACAGCCTGTTTGAGCAGGAGCTCATGGCACTAAAGATGGTCGTTAACCCCCTCCTGCACAAACGGCCTGATCTCAGAGTCAGATTTCTGCTGCAGTCATGGGAACGAAGCGCTGTTTGCACTCGTTTCACATTTTATTTTAAATGTGTTTATATTTTTTTTTATGTTTTTATTTTTTTGATCAAAGCCTTGTACCTTTGCCTTGAACGTGGAGATATGGCAGTGGCAGTATGGGAAACTTGAAAAATACTTGAGGGGCAACTTTTGCCACCACTGTCTAAAAAATAGGGGCATTTACAAAATTTTTGGGACACTTTTTAAATATGGTAATTAATGCATGAGGTTTGTTTTTAATGTGAAATGAGCCCAATTTAGTATGTATATAGTAATCACTAACTCATGCCAACACAAGTAAATAAAAATCAAACTTTTGCTGTTCCAAAGAGAAGTGCAATCATCTGTATGTATATAGAATCTGTATGTGAGTGAAAGCCAGAATCAGATCTATTTAGGCTTTTATTTAGCTCTTAATAGCCTTTGTATATATGTTTAATGCATTAGTTTATAGATGAAGTGAAAACTTCATCACAGTCTTTCAAATGAACTAGTTTACGGTCTTTTTTTAAACATCCTCTTTGGAAACTTGAAGGCCTATTAAAAATATTTGGGAAAATGAAAGGCAAAGTTTTACAGCTTTAAATGCAAACCGGTCCCTTCAACGAAATAAAACAAATATTGCAATTTACGATATTTTTAATATGTGAGGCATTCGGCAGTGTTGCTATCCTTTGCCACCATCAACTACCCCATGACACGCTTACTGAATGGTTTAAAATGTGATATTGGGCAATGCCTGCAATGTCAAGTTAAGGTCTTACCCTCCTCGAAGTTACGGGCTGAATTGATAACTGATGACTCACTGGCCATTTTATTAGGTACACTTGTTCAGCTATTTGTTGAAGCAAATATCTGATGAGTTAATTATATGTCAGCAGCACAGTGTATAAAATCATGCAGATACAGGTCAGGAGCTTGAGTTAATGTTCACATCAAACACCAGAATGGGGAAGAGAGGTGATTTAAGTGACTTCGAATGTGACATGGTTGTTGGTGCCAGACGGGCTAGTATAAGTATTTCAGAATAGTGATGAAGTCAAGACCACCTAAACTGAGACCAAGTCATTACCAAGACGAGAGTGTATCGAGACTGAGACAAGACCAAGACCAAGGCAGGGCTATACCAAGTCAAGATCAGAAAGAGAGTATTGTCTACATAACACACAACACACTATAAAATGTGGAGCATGGGCACTATCTTGGGGCTAGGCAGCATGGCCTATAATTTGTATCAGTATAATTTGAACTATGGATGTGTTTCCTTAAAATTTAAAACGTAAAATAAATCTTCTGTACAAAGGTAACATTTTTTTTCAAATAAGATGTACCTTATTGGTTGCATTTGAACTTTGAAGCAAGACAATCACGGTACTGTATTAACCCTTTGAACACTATATATTTTTGAGTGTTTTTTCTATCCCTTTGATTTTTGGCTTATTACATGGTATGTATCTGAGTTACCCACATGTGCTTTATGGTTTTGTTTTCAGGACATTCTGGGCTACACAGATATGTCATTATTTGATGTGATAAATTCTGACACAGTCTTGATACCATCCTTCTTATGAGGAAAAACTACTTGCACCTAATGAAATTCTCAATTTTTAATCTCATATTTCTTAATTCGAACTTTCTATGCCTTAGAATTGTGAAGAAATACATGGTTAGTGCCGGCGGAAAGGGATATCTTAGATTTTGCATCAGTTTGGTAACTTGTGAAACATTTGAAAGAAAATGAAATAGAAAAGCACTGTTAAGTTTATGATTCACTGGATAAACACAGATATAACAGTACATGGATCACTGTGGAAGTGAACATGTGCTTTGTTTTCCATCTGATGTGAATAATATCAATGTTTTATGGATTATTAGGGGTGGTTTTTAATGGAATATGTTTAAAATATATGCCTCATTGCGCACAGGATTACTCTGGAATATTTTGGATGACCGGATCAGATAAATTCTCTTGATTTCAGTGACATGCGATTCATGTCTGTGCGTTATACCTATCCAAAGTTACAAGCCTGAGGTTAATGGGTGTTTTTGTCAGGTTCTAAGGGTTAACAAGTAGGTGAATATTAAGCCATTGTGATAAATATTGAGGTGTTTTGATGTGTCTTGACTGGTCTTGAAATAAACCCTCGAGTCCACTATGTCCAAGACTGAGACAAGACCAAGACTGTAAAAGACGTGATCTTGAGACTGGTCAAGTACTACAACACTATTTCAGAAACCGCAGATTTACTGGGATTTTCACACCCAATCATTTCTAGGGTTTACAGAAAATGGGTCAAAAAAGGAAACCCATTCAGTGAGAGGCGGTTCTCTGGGCTAAAATGCCTCGTTGATGGCAGAGGTCAGAGAAGAATGGCCAGACTGGTTCAACCTGAAAGAAAGGCAACAGAAAATCAAATAACTACTCGTTAAAACAAAAGGTATGCAGAAGAGCATTTCTGAACGCATGACCTGTCAAATCTTGAAGCAGATGGGCTACAGCAGCAGAAGACCACACCGGGTGCTGCTTCTGTCAGCAAAGAACAGGAAACTGAGGCTACAGTGGGCGCAGGCTCACTGAAATTGGACAAAGGCAGATTGGAAAACACTGCCTGGTTACATAAATCTCAGCCCCGACTTTTAGATATAGGGTCAGAATTTGGCATAAATAACATGAAAGCTTGGGTCTATCCTGCCTTGTATCAACAATTCAAGGTGGTGATGGTGTGGAAGATGTTTGCTTGGCACACTTTGGGCCCCTTAGTACCAATTGAGCACCATTTAAATGCCACAGCCTACCTAGTATTGTTGCTGAGCATGTCCATCACTTTATGACCACAGTGTACCCAGCTTCTAATGGCTTCTACCAGCAGGAAAAACCATAAATATCATCTCAGACTGGTTCCTTCAACTTGAACTGTGCTCAAATGGCCTCCACAGTCACCAAATCTCAATCCAATACAGCACCTCACCAGAGTCGTATCATGTAGGTGCAGCTGACAAATCTGCAGCAACTGCGTAATGCTGTCATGTCAATATGGAGCCTAACCCTGCCCCCTGCAGGTGGGGGTGCTGCAGTATGGCGAAGTCACCACGCACGAGTGGTCGCTGAAGGACTACCAGACGACAGAGGAAGTGGTGGAGGCCGCCAAGAACATCAGCCGGCAGGAGGGCCGTGAGACGCGCACGGCGTTCGCCATCCACACCGGATGGTAAGCCCCGCCCCCGTGCATCACCACTGTACCAAGGGGGGGCACAGCTGGTTATGTTTCTAAGGTGCAGAGATCGGACTAGTGATAACCATGCCGTTAGTGCTTTCCTGTAATCTAATTACGGTTTTTATTGCACACACACACAGTATTTTTAGTACCATTTTTAGTATCTGAGATTGCTATCAGTCTGCCAAAATGATCGAAATTTAGATAAACGTGCCTGTATTGCTCTCTGGTATGTTTCAATGTTCCTGTTATTTTTACGCGGTTTGGCCGAAGTTCCTCACCCACCGCCTGCTCGCCCGCCCAGCCACTCGCGCTCGCCTCCTCACCCGCCGCCTAGCATCCCTCCTCGCGTTGCCCTCCGCTCCTGGAAGAATAACACTTTCAGCCCAAGAAGGAAGGAAAGCGGATTGTAAAAACACGTCCATCCGTCAGTCTTTGATGTCAGGAAGAGCTGCTTCAGCAGGGTTGCAGGTGTGGCCCTCCCAGGTCCAGCCTCGCACCCCGCAGCTGAGTCAACACTCTCGCCGGCAGTGGCACACGTGCCCCCAAATGCGCTCACGCTCTCTCAGGCGCTCATGAATGCTCTCTCCGGCTGACTGAATCTAATGATTCCTAACAACCACCCAACAAATATCCAAATGTATGAAGTGTGCGGAGTTGGCATGTTCTCCCCATGCTCGGGGTTCTTCCTCTAGTCCAAAGACACACAGTCAGTGCATGACTGCATGTGCCCTGCCCAGGGCATCCTCAGCCTTATGCGTGCCTTACACTGCCTGCCCTCCTTCTTGTGGTGCTGTACTGGATAATTGGTTGGAACATGGATGGATGGATGGACAGATAGATGAATGGAAGGATGCACTGGTGAATTGACGGACAGATGGATGAATGAATACACTGCATATATTGCATGGCCCACACAAGCTGAAGCAGGAGGGTCCTGAAGTGACTTACCATTGTGCCTTTAAACCCCCCCCCCAGCAACCATATAGACAGGCTATGAATAGATCCAGACCTCACAATTAACACTGCCCCCCCACCCCCTCTCTCCACAGTTCTGTCATCCTTCCTCTCTCCACGCCCCCTCCCTGAGGTGTTCTCTCATTACCCTTTACACCCAATTCACGCTCTATATTCTCCCTTTTCTTTACCCCCATCTCGTCTGCTCCATCTTTCTGCTGTCTAGCCCCTTTCCATGTTTTGCCCTATACTCCTCTTTCTTTTCTTCATGTCTCCCTTTGTCCTTAAATCCCCCCTCCATCCCTTTCTTTCTCTCTTTCCTCCCCCCCCCCCCCTTCCTGTGTAATTTGCAGGCGAGATGGGGGGAAGACGGTTGTTTTTAACTCGGGCTTTTCTGTGGCCAGCCACGCTGTTATATTTAGGCCCCGACTGGAGGCATGCCCGCAAATGACTGAGCCGCCCGCCTGGCCCTGCCCGCCTCTCAGACCGGCCTGTCTGCGCCGCTCAGAGTGGGGTGAGGCGCGGGTGTGTGTGTTTGTGTGTGTGTATGTGTGTGTGTGAAGGGAGATGAGGCTTGAGAGAGAGGCAGTGTATCCACACTTGTGTCTCACTGTCTGTCTGTCTCACTGACTGCTGTCCTCTAACTGAGGAGACTTCTCTGCCTGCCTACCTGCTTCCTACACATTGTCCGTTTCCCAGCCTCTGACCTGCACGGTCCCCTCTGACAGTCTGGGGGCACCCGCAGCTTCTGCACACTGGCTCTGTCCCGCCGTTCCCGGGCCTGTGTTTGTCTGCTAGTTTCCAAGGCTGCAGCAAAACCACGGTCCTGTTTTTACTGCCCAAGTGCGGTACCCTAACCGTAGTGATCTCAGATAACATATTAGTCATTCCTGCACACATGCTGAGTTCTGGTGAACAGCTATGTGGCCTGACGCTGAGGTTTGGTGCCTGGTTACCACCCGGCGACATGAGGAGAGACCACAGTGGTAAAAAGAAAGGGCCCCCCCGCCTTTGTTAGCTACATATAGGCGGCTCCTGCCTTTATCAGCTATATATAGTACAGAGAGCTGGAGGCTTTTCGTGGGAATGGGAAGAAAGGAAACGGGAGCTAGCTAGGCTCAGATGTTGGTGCAGCAGAGGTGCGACAGTGTCGGGCTTGAGTGTACGCCCGGCCCAGCCCAGAACAGCTGCAGTGTGTGGACGAGTGTGTAAATATGAGCGTTACCATGGCAAACTAACTGCTTGGTGTCATCTAATGAATGAAAAGGTGAGTTTGGGCAGCTGTGGAGGAAGGAGAAGGTGTAAGAGGAGCAGCCGGCCAGGGCTGATGGGGGGTGTCTGGGGGCAGGCCAGCCAGAGGGGAGCGGGGATTGACCCCCTTCCCCTCCTCTCTGATCTCTCCATCTCTCCCTTCCAGCACTGAGGCCTTCAGTCCAGAGCGAGGTGCCAGGGAGGGGGCCACCAAGGTCATGATCGTGGTGACAGACGGGGAGTCACATGACGGCGAGGAGCTTCCGGACGCCCTCGCCGAGTGTGAGAGCCGCAACATCACCCGCTACGCCATTGCTGTGAGTGTGCACGTACCCGGAGTATGCCCTTGCGAGCGTGCCCGTGCGAGCGTGCCCGTGCGAGCGTGGCCTTGCTCATCTCGCCCACATGTCCCCCGTCCCTTTCCCATGGTAGCTAACCCAGCAGCTGCTGCCATTTATAGCTGAGAACTGAACGAACTTCAAGCCACAGAAAATGCATTTTTCTCATAGCCAGAAACAAACGCGTGCTGGTTATGGCATAAACCTCATACTCAATTATCAACTTGCTCTCTGTCCCACTCACTTCCTCGCTCTCCCCTTATGCACCTCCAAAATCCAAACTCTCACTCACATGGGCCCTCCCCACCTGCTGATTCCCGTTTATCCTCCACGCTACACCTACACCTACACCTACGCCTGCCCCCCCCCCCACTCCAAATTAATCTCGTCCTCAAATCTGATCCCCCAACTGCACATGAACCCTGCACCTCCTACCACACCCCGCAAACCTTCCAAAAAACGCCCCTCGCTTCCCAAACCTCCGCCTCCACTGCCCCTCCAGTGGCCCCTGTCCTGTGTTTGGGCAACAGCCGGCAGGAAGTGGTGGTGGAGCTCATGGTGGAGAAAGCAGAACCTCACCAGAGCAGAGGCCCCGACCCAGAGTCAAGAGAGCAGAAGAAATGAAGGGAGGATGACTATGGTAGACTCAGAGGAAGAGACCCCCTGCATGGTACAGAAGGGCGGAAGCTGCCGGAGTCCGTTTCGGGGGTTTGGGTTTGGGGCGTGACTCACTTTTACATCAGACCTTGTCACTCGTGACTGTTGAGAACATTTTAATTAGTTTTCCATGTGGTTCCATGTCTCACGTTCATGCTGCCCTTTCCGTTCTAAAAGGCGCATTTTCCCATCGCTTTGTATGTTTTGGGGGTCCTCTTAATGAGGGAGGGCCTTAAATATGGCCGTACCAGGGGGCGAGATGCCGCCACGGCGCTTTAGCCTAATGCGGGCACATTTTTTTATTTATGCTGGCTCTGTTTTACGTGCATCACGGCCTCGCTCACTTTGAAAAGCCACAAACCCGGATGCCTCGAAAGGCACCTCAGTGAAATAGCTGGACGGTCGCAGGCTTGGCTTCTGATGTAGAGAGTACTTTGAGAGCTAGCTTACCACTCAGGTTTGCCACAAAACTCAGTTTCGCACACAAATGTTGAAGAACTTCTTTTACTTTTTATTCTGCCTTTAAAAATCTAGCCAGTCCTCTCCTCCACACATGGGATCTTTCTTCTGATTTAGCATTTCCGTGTTTTCAGTTACTAGCCCCCTCACTGTTTCTGTATTTTAATGTCAAAGCCAGCTGGGCAGAGCTGGGGTGATTCCCCCCCCACGTCACTGAAGCCGTTTAAGGCAGAGCTCCCCCCGATTAATGGATATGACAGCATCGGGCCTCTGGCTTCTGCCCCTCTGATCCTTCAGAGCAATCTGCCCCCTCAGGTCCTGGGACACTACATCCGCAGGCAGCAGGACCCCGAGACCTTCATCAATGAGATCAAGTACATCGCCAGCGACCCCGACGATAAGTATTTCTTCAACGTGACGGACGAGGCGGCCCTCAACGACATTGTGGATGCTCTTGGGAACCGGATCTTCAGCCTGGAAGGTGAGGGAACGGGGGGCGGGGGAGGGCAGGGTGAGGTGCCAGCTTGCTTTTGGAGGAAGAGAGGAAGGAAGTGGGGGGCATGAGAACAGTGCCATCTGTAGGGAGGTGAGAGGCGAAGGCAGCTGTCATCTTAATTTGGAAGGGAAAGGAGGTGGATGTGACCCAAAGCGGAGCTCAAGGCTGCATGACATCAGAAGTGTATTTTAGCTGTGTTAGTTCAGCCTGTCACTGAGGGATGAGGGGTGATGGCAGCATTGTGTTTGGGTTCTCTTGTTTTTAACATCACATCTACTCCATCACAGGGACCCTTGGGTACAACGAGAGCTCCTTTAAGATGGAGATGTCCCAGATTGGATTTTCCACACACGTCCTGGATGTGAGTCTGGCCGGCCTCTCCCGGTGCTGTGCACGCCGTGCTCTCGCTCACACCCCCGCCTGTCCGTCTGTCTCATTGCGTGTCGCTGTTTCACACGTCCCCTTTCGCTCCTCTCGTCCTTGGCACCGCCGCTGTCTCATCTGTTTTGTGGCTTTCGGAAATTCGATTCCGGACCCATCTTCAGCTCCTCTCCGGAATTTGGCTGACTCCTCGTTTGTGTCCGCCTCCCCGTCTGGCTGTAGGACGGCATCCTGTTCGGGATGGTGGGGGCCTACGACTGGGACGGAGGCGTGCTGAAAGAGGGCAGATGGGGACGAGTCATGCCCCCCCGGGAGGCCTTCGAGAAGGAGTTTCCCATGGAGCTGAAGAACCATGCCGCATATCTAGGTAGCTCCCCATACCTCCCACATCTGCACATCTGTATGGAGGAGCTGGACCTGCACCTTCTGGTTCACTGTGCTCGATTCGCTATTTCTGCTCCATATGTGTTCTCACTCCACGCACCATTACAATTACATTGCCGCTCTTTAATACCAGTCTATTCCAGTTAGTCTGCAGCCTTTCAGCTTGCCTGAGGGAGGCTTCATCTGTGACTCTTTGTGGTTGACACATACCTTGCGTGTACAGTGTAGTCTGTGGTACCAGGCTTCCCAGTCTGCAGGCTGGGATCCAGAGCCTCCTCCTCCACTGATGGGTCTGCTTGGAGACTGCATGGGTCACCTGAGGGTGAGCCATGGCTCATAGCCTGGTCCTGTGCACTGCAGGATACACCGTGTCTTCACTCACTCTGGCGAACGGAAGGAGGTTGTATGTTGCTGGAGCTCCACGGTTCAAACACAAGGGCAAAGTGATCTTGTTTGACCTGAGGCCCAACGGAGATGTGATTATCTCCCAGGCTCTTAACGGAGAGCAGGTTTGTGCCATGAAAATGCCCCGTTTCATCTCTCTCCTGTGTTATCTAATCCGCTCGTGGGAGTTTTACTTACACAAAATTTTTCTGGGGGCAGAAGGAAGAATGATTGGTTCAGAGAGATAATCAGATTGTAGAGGAGGTGGGACCAAGACATCTGATTTGGTTGCTGGTTGGTTCCACCTCCTCTAGTTGCTTGGACCCACCTCCTTTACAATCTGATTGGTTAATTCTATGAAACAGTCATTTTCCTTCTGCCCTCAGAATATTTTTGCATTAGTAAAACTCCTATGAACATCTAAGCCTCTTTCATTCCCCTGGATAAATGGATTGAGAATGTGTTCCTCTCTTTACAGTGTGTTTCTGTGTCAATGGCCTTCTACCTTCCTCCTCTATGGTATAGATCTATACCTCTCTCATTTTTACTGCTATCCTCGTGGCGTCTTACTCACTGGCTGCGGAGTCCTGTCCCCTCTGTAAGCTCCCTCTCTCCCCCGGACCCCAGATTGGCTCTTACTTTGGAAGTGAGGTATGCGGACTGGACGTGGACAAGGATGGATTCACTGATGTTCTGCTGGTGGCTGCCCCCATGTTTCTTGGGGCGGGGAACAAGGAGGCTGGGAGGGTTTACATTTACAACCGGAACAGGGTAAGAGGGAGAGAGACACTTTTGGGTTTAGGGGGGAGAGGGGACTGGAACTGTTACTTTCATCTCATATGAGAGGGGTTCTGCTACCGCATCCACACACCTCTATTTCCTACCCATTCATTAGGTTTTGTTTACTGCCAATGGGACCCTCCAGTCTCAGCCCAAAGCCCAGGATGCCAGGTTTGGCTATGCCATGGCAGCGGCCCCTGACCTCAACCATGATGGTCTAACAGACCTGCTGGTGGGCGCACCGCTCGAGGATGGCCACCAGGGGGCACTGTATGTTTACCATGGCCAGGGGAAAACCATCAATCCTCAGTTCAAACAGGTACCTGCGTCTTTAAGGCCTGGTCGTACCGAATCACTGGAGTTTGCATGTTCTCTCCATTTTCAGGGGTTCTGTTCCTGTCTTTAAAGTGGTCATAGTGTATGAGGGAGTGTGTGTGTGTGTGTGTGTGTGTGTGCAGGATGGGTGACTCTCTTGAATGAGCAGCAGTGACACTCAGAGGATGCTGTTCCTCATCTCGGCCGCTTCTCTCTCTCCCACCCTTTCTCCACATCTCATCACCTGTGCCTGTGTCTCTGCCCCTCTCTGCAGCGTATCCCTGGCTCCGCCCTCTCCCCGGGCCTCCAGTACTTTGGGTCCAGCTTGAGTGCCCGGCTGGACCTGGACGGGGACAAGCTGCTGGACCTGGCTGTGGGGGCTCAGGGAAACGCCGTTCTGCTCAGGTACTGGATGTGTGAGGAGCTCCCCCCATTAAATCCTCAGAGTACCCCCCCCCCCGCTTTGTTCCCCTCTCACCATGTGCCCTCCCCCCAGCTCACGCAGCATCGTGCAGATCACCGTCGAGCTGACCTTCTGGCCATACTCCATCAATGTGATCCACAAGAACTGCCAGAGGGGCAGCCGGGACTCCGCCTGCCTCAACGCCACCGCCTGCTTCCAGACCACCTCCCAGTCACCCGGCTCCCACGGGACACCGTTCGGTACGACTTTACAGCTGCTTATTCTCCCTGTGTGAGTCTCTCTGCTGCCCCCTGTCTGTGTGAGTCTCTGCTTCACCCTGTCTGTGTGAGTCTCTCTGCTGCCCCCTGTCTGTGTGAGTCTCTGCTTCACCCTGTCTGTGTGAGTCTCTGCTACCAGGTGTCTGTGTGAGTCTCTCTGCTGCCCCCTGTCTGTGTGAGTCTCTGCTGCCCCCTGTCTGTGTGAGTCTCTGCTACCCCCTACCGGTATGAGTCTCTCTGTCGCCCCCTGTCTGTTTGACACTCTGAGGTATAGTAGAAAAGCTAACCCCTGGTTCCACCTTGACCGCTTGTGCAGAGCTGGACGTGACTGCCCTGCTGGATGACAGGAAGCTGTCAGCACGCGCCCTTTTCGACAGCAGCTCGCAGCGGCAGATGGCCACGGGGGTGGAAGCCCGTGTTGGGGACTCAGTCTGTCTCACACTGCCCTTCCACGTCTTTGTGAGTGGGAGCACGTCTGGACAATGAACACGCGAGGGGTGTGTGTGCGTGCGTGTGTGCCCTGTGATCAGTGCAACACAGGATGGATTGATGGATGGATGGATGTGAAATAAAGATGTATAATGATGGATAGATTAATGAATGGATGTGATGAGATATGAGAATTTCCTTCTTCTCTCTCTCCCTCATTCTCTCTCTCCATCTCTCCCTACTTTTCTCCCTCTTTTTCTCTCCATCTTTCTCTCTCCTTCTCTCTCTTTCTCCTCTCTCCCTCTTTTTCTCTCCATCTTTCTCTCTCCTTCTCTCTCTTTCTCTCTCTCCTCTCTGTTTGTCTCACTCCCTCCTTTCCTCTCTCTCTCCCTCCTTCTCTTTCCCTCTCTCACTCTCTCGCTCACTGTCACCCTCCCCCTCTCCTTCCTACAAACAGGACACAGCTGACTACATCAGGCCCATCAGCTTTACGCTTCACTTCAAGATCAACGATTCAGAAATCGGCCCGGTCCTGGACGAAGGTTGGCCGACCACAGTCAAGAGCCTGGTGAGTGAGTCCCTCCGGCTGTCCCCCACGGCATCATTATGGAATTAGCATCTGGGCTTAAGTGAGTGTCTCTATGTACCCCCCCCACCCTCCACCTCCCCACAGATCCCGTTCTTCAAGGACTGCGGTGAGGATGATGTGTGTGTGACGGACCTGGTGCTGCAGGCACGCATGGACATCTCAGGGACAAGGTACAGGGCAGAGATGGTGCCCTACTCACCGCCATCTTACCCGGGGGGTGCAATCAGGGTGATGTCACAACTCTGTCTCCCCTGACCTCCAGGCAGGACCCACACGTGATCCGCAGCCCCCGTCGGCGCTTGGCGGTGGAGGTGACCCTGCAGAACCGTCTAGAAAACGCCTACAACTCCAGCCTGAGGCTACAGTACTCGGCCAACCTGCACTTCTCCACCCTCAGTGTCCGGGTAACGCTGAACAGCTCCTCCGCCTGTGCTGTCTGAAGCATGTGACAGATTTCCAAAACTCGCTTAGTCCATTCCTTGTTGTTTTTGGGATGAAACCTAAGCTGAGAATTAAAGTCAGGCTTCCTCACCACATGCTACAGTGTTCGGAACCAAAACTCACTCCGTTCTCATGTAATACAACAAAGAACTTTGATCTGCTTTTGTCACTAAATTACACATTGTCTTGTCAACTGGGATATGATCAGACCCTTCAGAAACTATTATTTGATTCGTCATCTTAACAGGTGACCCTTACTGAGGAACCCTAAGAGAGCCCAGGTGCCTCCTCCCTCTCTGTCTCCACAGGAAGACTCCCAGTTTAAGACTGAGTGCACGGCCCTCAGAACCGGCAGCCACTCCTGTAACATCAGCTATCCCGTCTTCCGCTCCCAGTCCAAGGTGTGTTGGCTGCTCTCCCGGTTCCTCAGCCTCAGCTGTGCCGCCGCGATCTCTCCCTCTGAGCTGACCACTGTGCTGTCTCTACGTGCAGGTCAGCTTCCTGCTGGAGTTCGAGTTCAGTTGCACATCTCTGCTCAACAAAGTGCAGATAAATCTCACCGCTGTAAGGTAACACCATATTTACACACTCAACACCACCGCTGTCAGGTAACACTGTGTTTACACATTTAACACAGCAGATGTCAGGTAACACCGTGTTTACACACTCCGCACCGTATCTGTCAGGTAACACCGTGTTTACACACTCCGCACCGTATCTGTCAGGTAACACCGTGTTTACACACTCTGCACCGTATCTGTCAGGTAACACCGTGTTTTCACACCTAGCATCACAGCAACTGCACTGCTAAAAGTAACTTTCAGTGCCCACATTTAACCATCACTATTGGTGATTCTAATTCACTTTTTCTCATTGTGTCTGAATGTATTGGTTGTGGTTTTAAAGTTTACGAGTGACTCCTACATGGACACTGCAAGGTTCGGTCAGGGTTAGGTTTAGAAATAGGGAACAGGGGTGCAGTGGGGTACGGAGTCAGGCTGACTTCCCCCCCCCACCCACCCAGGCCATACACACCACCTGTTCTGTGTAACAGATGCATGTGACATACTGACACAGTTTAATGCTAAATGGCACACCTACATAAAGTGAGGGAACATACTTTGGTGAAATGCAGACTGCATGGTGCTCTATGCGTGCTTTGTGTGTGCTCCGCGCGTTGCTACTTGCGTGCTACATGCGTGCTCACTGCATGCTCCGTGCCTGTTACAGTGACAGCGTTGAGCGCAAGGCCACGCTACACGACAACAGCATCCAACTGCACAGCGTGGTGAAGTACGAGCCGGACCTCTTCCTCACCAGGTTAGTGGCTGTCACAACCACCCCGAAATCTTCACAGATTCTGCACATCCTATTCCGGTGCTGGGGCCTTTAAGATGCTGCCCCCCCTCCCCCTTTACAGCGACTCCAACCTGAACCGCTATGAGGTCCACCCGACCCGCACAGCCTCAGAAGGTTTGGGGCCCAGGTTCCACACCAACTTCAGGGTATGTCATCTTCTGGTCTGCCTGTGAGTCTCCTTGACCATTTTTATTAGTCACACACTGTGACTGGGCGGGGCTATAACTCACCGCTACCTGCTGTCTGCGTCCAGGTGCTGAACCTGGGCTGCTTCTCAGTCCCAAACCTGGAGCTGAAGCTGCGTCTGCCCTCCATCACATCCGGAGACCGTCTCTTCATGTCTGTGATCAACGCAAGCTCCCAAAACGTGAGGCACGCCGCCAGGGGCCACCTGTAGGGCCAGGGGCCTCGCTCCATTGTCAGAGAGACAGGTTTACTCAATAGAACCCAGTAGAACTTTATACATTGTTACAACTGCATGGTGTAGTGATTTAGGCAATCTGTGTGTGAGATACGGATGATCGATAATTAGGGTTTAGAGCGAGCGGCCGGGACAAACCTGGATGTGGGGCTGAGACCGGCTGTTTGTGGCCCCCCAGGTGTTGGGGGTCAGCTGCACCATCCAGAGCGACTTGGCCCAGCTGAAGGAGAAGCAGCGAGATGTGCGTCCTTTACACCCCGAGGACATGCAGCAGTCAGAGCAGCTGGTGAGATGGATCCCCTTCACTACCTCATGATCTTCACAGGGGGCTGTCATGCACCTTTTCCTGTCGTGGGTCAATTCCGTATTGTGCCATTCCGTTTGCATCGCCAGCATGGTCCATTAAGCTCTGCTGAGAAAGGCAACTGCCTGACGTTTTTCCATGGATGGTTTGGAGATCTCGGTCCTTGCATAACAAGGTCACATCGCATTTCACCCGGATTAGCTACTGAAGTGGAAACAACTGAAGATCAGGAGTCAAATCAAAACATACTTACAGAGTGTCTGTAGCCAACATTTGTACATCTGACTTCCCCAGGGAATTGGGCTTATTTTTTCACCATCTCTTAGGCTGTGATTATATAAACAGAGAGCTTTTCCCGTGTTTCTTTCCTCAGAACTGCTCCAGGTCATGGTGTGTCATTGTGGTGTGCCAAATCCAGGAGCTCCTGCACGGACAAGCAGCCGTGATCCGGATAACCAGGATGGTGCATGATAGCTTCTTCAGAGAGGTGGGACAGACCGGGATGTACCAGACTGATGCTGTGTTCTGTGTATCTGTGTGTTTTCTTCACTTGTCAGTCAGCAGGAAACTGCTGTGATTCCAATGATGTTTCATTGCTTGACCTTAAACCTAGTGATCAATGACCTTGTCTGTCAGGCCAAGTTCAGAGCAGTTAAGATTGTGAGCACCTACAGCCTTGGGGTTCGGCAGTCCAGCTTCATCACGTTGGGAAACAGCGCCCTCGTGAGGGAGGTAAGAAAACTACGAAGGGCGTCAAAGAACAGGTACGAGTGAATCATTGTTACCATGTAGGAATGTACAATTGCAGGGTTAGTAACTTAGGTCACCAGGGTTAGCTGTGGGCTCCCATTGGTGTGGATCAAGGTGGGCACGGCCCTCTGCCTGGCCCCACCCCTTCGCTTGGCCCCGCCTCTGATTGCTTCCGCTCCCGAACGCAGACAGTGCTGGAGGTGTTAAAGGGCCGCTCCATCCCCATCTCTCTTTGGATCCTCATCGGCAGCATCATCGGGGGCCTCCTGCTGCTGGCCTTGATCATCTTCATCCTGTGGAAGGTGCTGCTGCTCACTATTATCCGGCTAACCCTCATCTTCACCCCCAACTCTCTCCTCACACTTTGGCATCTCTTCCTCACTCATGGGAGTTTAACTTAGACAAAAATATTCTGAGGGTAGAACAAGAAATTATTGGTTCAGAGAGATAACCAATCAGACTGTTGAGGAGGTGGGTTCAACCAATTACAGGATGCGGGACCAACCAATCAGATGTGGGTCCATCTTCTCAAGTTGTTTGGAACCACCACTTCTACAATCTGATTGGATATATCTCTGAACCATTTTTCATTCTGCCCTCAGAACGTTTTTGTTTTAGTAAAACTCCCACAAGCCTCTTCCTCCCCATAAACTCAAGCCCTTTGATCGTTTCCCTAAGAGTACAACAATCACATACTGTAGAGTGGAGGTCTATAATTTATTTTTTCTTACCTAAAGACAAAATTAAACTATATACGATATCCGCTAAACAGCAGATAGATTTGTCAGCCGGGGAGTTGTTCCATGGTGCCTTTCACACTGGGTGGTGACTAAGAAGCTCAGATGCACCATCATTATTGCCCATGATGGCTCCCAGGCTGGCCTCCGTGGGGGGCAAGTCACCAATGGCATGCCCCTTCTGTTTTTTGGTCCAACACTCTCCTCCTTGCCACCCCCCATCCAGCTGGGATTCTTCGCGAGGAAGCAGAGGGCCGAGGAGGATCCCCAAGCACACGACTGAGCCCGACCCCAGGAGGGAGACTCCACGGTGGTGCAACAACCAAGGTCCAGCTCTAGGGCGGCGCCATGCGCTGTTTCATCCAGCCCAGTCAGGCTGCATTTGGATGGCTCCAGACTGAATTGTACAGTGTGTGTGTGTGTGTGTGTGTGTATATATATATATATATACACATAAAAACTGAAGAAGCGTGAAACATCATTGTGGATAACAGGGTCAAACAGAGCAAGCACATGATATTAATATCAAACTAGACCGACGTTTGGCGTTACTTTCTTGGTCTTTCTTGTGGTTGATTCAGATCCAGTATGAAATTATTGGAACGGTAAATATTATTCATACATTTTATTTTCAGATATCATGACTGTCAGACAGCAAAAAAAAACTGATGCACCTGAATGTAAACCAAATATGCACTAAATTATCCATAGTTATCCCTCAAGATGCAATAAAATAAACTGACAAACATACATACATAATGAAAGTATTTATTATCAAATCATAGAACTTAATACAATAATTCCCTTTGACATTACTACCATTCAAAAGGGCCAAAATGTAGATAGAGTCTTAATTACACTATAATGTCTGCTGAAGATAAGGACCATTAATAAAACTTATGGCTGAGGAAAGATTTACAGCAGCGTCTAGCGTGGCCTGGCGTCGACCGGAGACACGACCCAGGCTTCATGTAGTCGTCGGTGTAGCTGTGTGTGCAGAGCGCCTCCCTGCCGCTTCATCTCGCTCAGCGTGAAGCCATCGTGGAACTGATGTGAGACTCCAGCAGGAAGATGGTCTCATCCACCTGGTTCTCACTGGAATCCAGCCTGCGCACGCAGAGGGGAGCAAAGGAGTGAGGAGGAGAGAGTCTACTAAAGGCTGGTGACAGACGGTGATAATTATCACCCATTACCACTGACCTTGCTCCCTGTGGGGGGCCCGCTGCAGCGCCATTGTACCATATAAGATGGGCCGAATGGCCTCCTCTCGTTTGTAAATTTCTTATGTTCTTATATGTAACATCTACTTTCTTTCAGTTTCGGTTTCCTTTTGGTTTCTGTGTTTTTTTTTTTTACATTGTTTTATTGTTAATTTAATAATTTTTTTAAAAAGCTTTTGTCCTAGCTGAAGTTCACAGCGTCAGCAGCATGCTTTCCGAGTTTCTTACTCATGCCTTTCCTGATATTCTGATTTTGCTGACATTATTTAGAAGGAACAATGCATCACTTATCAAAACCTGCAGTGTTGTAAGTTTTAATATGCAAACGGTGGCACTGAAACAGTGTAAAAGCTGAAAAATGCCATTAAACTGAGCAATGTTTCTACAACTGAATTGTGTCTGAAAGTGGACCCCTCCCTCCCCACCATGCAGTCCTGAAATAACAGGGCTGGGGGCGTTGGGCTTGGTGACCGTCCAGCTGGATCGAGCTGCACACCACTGCCAGCAGTGTTGTATCAAAGAGAGAGACGGGGCCTGATTGCAGAGCCTCGCTCGCCCCCGTTCATTTGCACAGAAGCTGAACCTGCTTTGAGCTGCAGACTATTAATGTTTCTGAAGGAAGTGGGCTGCCCTCATTGCCGAAACCTTAATATAACTCAGGGCTCGATATCAGTCTGCTGTTGTTACGCCACTATGGTGCCACAGTCAGAGTGATGTCACTCGTCAGGGAGTGCCAGTTACTTAACTCTTCGACAGAAGTCAAACTAAAAATGTGACATTTATTGTGAGAAATATGCCTGTTGACAAGGAATTGCCAGAACACCTGTACTGTCAGAATGTGCCTGTATTGCACTTTCAGATGTGAGATTCGCTCTGTTCCGCAGTGCGGGATTGTGTCAGTACTGTACTTGTGCATGCCACGATGCCAGAATGTCTATACCATACATGTCGACACGACAATGTCGGGATGCATTTGTACTGTTTGTGTCAACACGACAATGCTGGTTTGCGTCTATACCTTACATGTTGATACGGCAACGCAGGGATATGTTTGTACCATTCATGTCGACACAGCAATGTTGGGATGCATCTGTACCCTACATGTTGACACGGCAATGCTGGGATGCATCAGTACTGTACTTGTTGACATGGTGACGGAGGGCCTCCAGTTGCTGCCTCTCAGGGGCAGTGATCATCTCCTCCACTTCTGTGAGCTGAGCCGCCTCCGCCCCGCTGGCTTGTAGGGAGGCCAGAATCGCCTCAATGCGCTGGGACTTCTCCAGCAGACGTCTGTCAATCACAACAGTCACATGCTCATCACCAAAAACGAGTGTAGCGAAAAAGCAAATCTGTCCCTACACGGAGCCCCTGGACTTCTGTTTGCTCAGAAGCTCACTTTGAGTTGACTCACTTGTTCTCCTTGGTTTCATTAAGACGCCTCACAATCAGGTTAGCCACTGTCTGCAGAAGGGGGTGAGAGAAAAAGAGAGTGTTGAGGGACCAGAACACCTGATGTTAAGTGGGTTCCCAGACAGCAGAGTCCTCCAGTCCTAGGACAGCCCTACCTTGTAACAATGCTGCAGCAACATCCGTGCAGTGGACAGCGGGTTGACTGTGTACAGATAGAAGGTGCGCGAAGGCGCGTGATCGGGGGTCTTCGGGATTTCCTGAATCAGAATGGAGGCACAGCTACAGTGACAAGCACGAGTGGCAGGGGGGGGTCAGCCAGGACAAAAGGGGGCACTCGCGCGTAGCCACTACCTGCAGCTGGACCAGGTTCTCTGACAGCAGCATGTAGAGCATCTCTTTGGCCTCCTTCGCGGGAATCATGGCAAAATCCTCCACCTGCTTCTGCTCAAGGTGGCGTTTTCGGAGCAACAAGCGAAAGATGCGGGCCGACCGCGAGCCAAACCTGCAAGATGGAAGCCATCGAAGACACAGAACAAGGGTATGTATTATTTTTCAGGTTTCCCCAGATTACTGAAAACAACCAGGAGGCATATGATCAATGTAAGTTTCACAACAGACTCTAACATTAACGTATCAGCATTAATACAAACTGCAATATGACTGAAGCATATCAGCAACTAGCTAACTGCACGATTAGCAACCAGCTAACTGCACGATTAGCAACCAGCTAACTGCACGATTAGCAACCAGCTAACTGCACGATTAGCAACCAGCGAACTACACGATTAGCTAACTGCGGAATGTAGCATCTTAATTTTGGGAAGGGTTAAAATACGCCTACAGGAAAAAATAACACGGTAACATCCCTGGAGATGAAAAAGCAGGCATGCTTTAAGAAATGGATAGTGGCAGGGAAAAAAAAAAAAAAAAAACACTGAAACATTAAGAAAAGGGAAACTAATAAACTGCTATGAAAGCTGCAGGCCTATGGGCCAGTTCATTCTTCACTAAACAAGGGGACGTGACGTAAATATCTTCATCGGGTTGGCTGCGGACGACTGCAGTGGGTGCACATGTAGCCCAGATTTTTATGTCTAGCAGAAACCAAGCGCACCCACCACACGTGGAAGACAATTGATTGGGTATTCCCAATAGGTAGCTACGTGGTCTTTTACAGATGAGCACTCAACTACAAAAGAGTAGAGGAAGAATAATTGTTGTTGTAGTAGTCGATCTGGTGAGCAGCTGTATGAGGAAGGTCAGAGGGCCCCACATATCTAATTTTACATACTGTCTAGACATTACACCAAGGTATACTATACTTTATAAATCAGCACTATTGTGGCATTTTGAAGGCTTGGCAATAAAATTCACCGAGCAGGTTGGGGGGTTGGGATCCCAGCAAATTTTCTTGTAAGCATTTCAAAATACTGTGATGTGCCTTATTATGTTAATGCCGCCCAAGCCTTAACTAATAACTTTAAAACTTTATAGAAGTTTCACCTGTTTCACTACACTGCTTCTATCTGTGTTCGTTACCATACATCTGCCCTCTGCTGGTCTGGTGGAGTATCGCTGCTGTTTGCATGCACAGCCAAAGGTAGTATAAACACAAGCTGCAGCACAGATGACTGTCCACAGCCCAACAGCACACATGAAAAAGTGACGTATGAACTAGGATTACCTCTCCTGTACTACAGATTCCAGTGTAGCCCTTGCCAGGCTGGTCAGCACTTTGTGTACATCTGACTATCAGTTAAGATTCTACGTTTGAGATTTTTTATTAGTCACATACACAGTTATAGAAATATGACATGTGGTGAGATATATATAGATATATATACATATAGTTAAAGGCCACTGGTGCAGGCTGGGAGACACGGGCCTCCTCACGGTTAAAGGATACAGACGGCATACATGCCACCCCCACTGTCTCCTGTTTTGCTCACAAACTCCATCTGAAATGCATGGAGCCAGTCAGGGAGGGGGGCAGAACGAGACGTTTAGCAGGAAGTTCTGAAACACAACACTTCAGCCTCAGGAGCTGGCGGGGGGGGGTTCCTTACCGGGTCATCCACCAGAAGGGTGAGGTACTGCTCCAAAACTGGCCTGCTGATGCTGTAACTGGGAGGAAGAGCCCGGAAGATCTGAAACCATGGGGACGGGAGTAAGCGAACCAGCAGCAGCAACGGCATTAGGAAATGGGCCCTCTCTCCTTGGGAGGGGCTCAGATTTGGGTCAGCAGAGAAACCCTGATCCCGTCATTTAACGAACCTTCACTATATTTCCAGTAATTTTTTTCCGACAGTTTTGTTGTAATGTGTCTGTCCTGCGCTTCTTGACACAGTTTTGTCAGAATGCCTCTGTTCTGATCTTGTCGACACAGTTTTAACAGAATGTATCTGTACTGCATTTGTTGATACCAGAATGAATCTGTACTGTTCACAGCAGTGCAGTAGGGGCATGGATACCCTGGTAGATTAAGGGGGCCCAGTACTTTACAGGGCCCCTTGAATACGTAAAATCTGGCAGCGGAACCCAAGGTCACATGGTCTTAGGGGCCACATAATTGCTAGCTACACTTTACTTGTCCCCTCTGAGAGCAGTACTCCCTTCTTACAGGATCCCCAAAGCCAACAGGAAGATTTCATATCAGGGCTCAAAAGGGCAGGTCACGAATAAACTCTCCCCACAGTAAAATAAATAATATTATATAATATAATATAAAAAATAATTCAAAAAGCGACACATAAAGTCTGTTTTTTTTTCCATTTACTTGCTAGATCAGAGATGTGGGAAGCAGACACAAAGTCAGGGAGTCCAACACATCAAGACCAACCTCGTTCACGGACAAGGGCTGTGTGTAGGCAGCGGTGGGGGTCGTTGTCACCTCGCTCATCCTCAGCATGGTCCGAACGATCTCGCTGCTGGTCTGTGCGTATGCAGAAACACGGCTCAGCATGCCCCAGGGTGAACGGTGTCGTATAACAGCTTGTCTTACATCTGCTTTAGTTACAATCCAGTACTAGGACATCTCATTAATGGTGTCCTAGTCTAGGTAATGCATTCTGGTGCTGACCTGGTCCAGTTTGCTGGCAACTGCGCCGATGATGGCCTGGTCTCGAAAGTACTGGTGGAACCTCTCAAAGTTCACCTGCCAGTAGATCCCTTCGTCACCTGAGGTCTGACAAAAGCAGGATAGCTGTTAAGGTGAAAGGGATGGTTGCAGCAAGCCTCTGCGGCGTTCGCCACGCTGGGCGGGAAACGTCACCTTAGTGTTGGCATCATCCAGCCTGGCTCGCTTCCCCCTAGCTTGCTCTGCCTCATTATCCTCGTTGGACAACCGCCGTTTACCCCTACCTGAACGTAGGATGCAAACGAAGCAACAACACACAAAAAAAATAAACACACACACAACGCAAGGCTGGTATGGATCACGAGACGCTAGCAGGCAGCTGACAATGCAGCAGCACTTGGTAAAACACCACAGAGACACAGAGCCGCGTGGAGGTGACTTGCCTTTGAGGGTGATAGGGGGCAGGTTGAAGCGCTCTGTCTGACACTCCGACAGGGTGGGCACGGTCGCTGAGGCAGCTGGACCCCCGGAGGACGCCACCGGGAGAGGGCCCTCAGTCACGGAGGGGCAGCGCTGAAGTAAGTGGGTTTCTACCAGTCGGGAGAAAGCTGAGACTACCTCGCTGTACTCCATGCTAGATCCCTCTACGAAGAACAACAGAGGGATGACCATGTGCGGTCAGCCTCACCCTGCGCTTCACTGTATGCCCTCCTAACCCCCACCCCCCTGCCGACGGCCTCACCCTCCATGTTATGGGTCAGCCTGTCAGCCACCGTTTGCACGGCATGGCTCATGGTCATGTGACCCCGCTGCAGCACCTCCTCCACGATGAGCTCCCCCGTGTCCCCGTACAGCGTCTTGGCTGTGTAGATGTATCGCGGATAACGCAGCATGCGCAGGATGCGCTCGCAGCTGGCGCGGTACTCAACCACTCCCCTGGGGCCCTTCTGCGTGCCTTCAAAGGAGCACAGACTGTGTTGCAGCAGCACACACAGGGACTTCTTCACCTGGGCCAAAGAGGGGTGGGGGTGACAGTCTGATCAAACAGCAGCCTTTCACCTCCCAGAGACAGTGTGAATGCGAGAGTGTAAATGCGAGAAAAGTCACCCGTCAGACTCCAAGGAGGCTCATTTTCACATAAACAGCACAAACGATTACAGCAATAGCGAGTGACAATGTGCAGGAGTACCAAGTCGAGCGGGGTGCTGGTCTCGTGAGCGATGGCGCGTAGGCTTAGGGGTCCGATCCTCAGTAGATGCGTGCCCACCTTCTCCACCACCTCACCAAAGTGCTCCTGGAGCAAAAGTCCACACAGGCGCACCTCCTGCGCCGTCATCTGTTGGCACGTGTAATTTCCAACTTTCAGCGAGCTTTAGTACTGCACTGCATGCCACCGTACTTACTAACGACATTACGCATAAACGAAAAACTTCATAGCGGCTACACTTTAAATGTACATATTTCCAGGGTTACACGCGTTAGCCATGACCTCATGTCCTAACGATATAACATACTGAAAACACCACACGCTTCCAGGAACCACTGTCACCAGTTGTAAGGTAAGTTGTAAGCTCAGAGCGCTGCAATACAGAAGTGCAGCTGCTGGTTCATTTCTTATTTAATACAAAGTAATTTCTTGCTTTGCACCCAGCCACAGGTTCTCCCCTACTTCATGTACAACTTCTTACTCATTTAAAATGCATTCCATGTACCCAAGCTAACACATTATTACACGCAGCAATCACGGGACCACATTCATAATTAACATGTAACATGTACGCCTTATCTGTACATGTCACGTTTCTTACTAACTAGGCAGTTATCCGTACAAACACGTTTCCCCAGATCCGTTACCGCTTTTAATTACATTTTTCATCCCACAATCCTGATTAATGTGAACCCCGCACCCTTGACACTGTACTGGGGGGCCTAAGCTCCTTAAGCCAATTAGGATCATGCACGGTGGTGTTTTAAATATCCATAAATATATTCCGTACAAACCTTCGCCTTGCAGTCCCCCGAACCGTCTCACAGAACCTCTCCCCCGGCCGGGACTGTGCGCGAAGCGGCCACTTCCGGGCACCGACTGCCGAAAACAGCGCGCCGGCAGACGGACTGACTGATCCGAGGCGGCCGCGCTGCATGCAGGGCTGGCGACGGACCGCCTCCTTCCGACTGTAGGAGGACCGACGTCAGTGTTTGTGCCAGTCCGGGGAAGATGGCGGAGGCTGCGGCGGTTCCACAGCATCGCTTCTTCTGTCACTGCTGTAAAGGCGAGGTGAACCCCAAGCTGCCGGTCAGTAGCCCGCTCCGCGCCGCCCGCCGACGGCGCTTCTTCCCCGTCCGCTGTCGCCTCGATCCGCAGCCTACCTGCTTCGGGGACCGGGCGCTGGTCTCTACTTCCAGGCCCGATGGCTGAAGCGGTGCCCTTTTATCCAGCCGATTGCTCTCCGGTTGTGTTTTTACACACGGAGAAACAGCCGAGCGGGCGTCTGGCGCACATCACTCGCTTTATGCGGTTATTTCTTTACGGACGCGGCCTGCGGCTTTGCTCCCGACATCGCCGTCCGCTCCGCGTTTCTCGCTGTCGTGTCGATCTCGATCCCCGTCTTATTCGTGAACCCATCGGGACGTTTCCTCCACCGCTCCGGCGCAGCGTTATAAGCCTAGGCCGCCGCATCGGAGCCCGGGTGACCAAGGCGATCCCCGCTTCGGACTGCCGGGCCGCCGTGCTAACAAACTGCCGACGCGTATGCGACCGTTGACGGCCGAATTTCTTGCGTTTTGAGGGTCGAATTATCCCGTATTTCTGTCTGTCCTTCCCCTCCTAGTGATGTCGGTACTGCCGAACCGGTGCGATTCGGACCGTCCATGGCAAAGACTTTGTGTGGCCGCGCATGTGTGTGGTGTACATTACTGTAAAGTTATGTATATGTACACGTTACCTGAAATACAAGCTTTGGCAGCGGACTGTAGCTCAGTGTTTTAATGGGTAAGGCACCAGTGGGCTGGGGTACCGGGCCTCTCCCTGTCCGGAGGCACATTTCCAGGCTGACACTGATGTAACGCAATGCTGATAATTCATCGTGCCATACAGAAGTGCTGCATAAAGTCACCATGGCTTCTTTCCCCTTCTTCTCTGAGCTGACTCTTCCATCCGCCGTTTTACTGGTCTAGTGTCAGCTTGATGCATTGGAAGTGAGGAAAGGGTCACTCTTTCCCAGTCCCGCTTTCCATAATGACCAGCTCTTGGTCAGCCGCTTATAGTTGCGCCCTAGATAGGCATTTAACTGTGCCTCTTGCTTGCAGGAGTATATATGTCCCAGATGTGAGTCGGGCTTCATAGAGGAAGTGACCGAAGACTCCAGGTGATTTAAAAACAGTTGTTCCTTTTGTTTTGCTGTACAACACACAGCCATTATGCTCAGTGTGTATAGTGGGTGGTAAATACGGTGTTTGTGCCTTTGCAACTTGAAGAATGGTGATTGTATTTGCAATGCTTTTCTCCCAGTCTCCTGGAGGGCGGCGCTAACGGGATCACCGATGACACAGCTACACAGTTTGCAGAGGTAGCACTCTCTCCACCCCTGTTTCCTGCTCCGTTTTTGGAGGTGTCTGCTCTATGCTATGTAAAGTAACCAAAATAAACCGTAGACATCCTATGTGTAAAAGGCGTGGGAGATCATTTTTGAGAAGAGTGATGACCGGCCAGTTCTGCCCTCTTCCTTTCCCCCTCAGTTATGGCACCTGCTCTTCGTGGAGCGGCCATTCACGGTGGATTCCAGCTCCTCTGACTCTGATTCCCGGGGCCCCGGCATGATGGGAGGGGGCTCTCTTGGTGGCTCAGGGTTTGGGGGGCTTCTGGGGCCCCCGCTTGGAGGTGGCGATCACTGGGGGCCCGGCCGCCCCTCTCGCCTGCACAGTCAGCGGAGGTACCGGTCCCGGGGCAGCAGTCGACCAGACCGCTCGCCTGCCGTGGAAGGGTGAGTCGTCCTCCCTGTCCCTGCATCTTCTCCAGGCAGATGGGCATGTGTCCTGCTGTCTCGCTGAGCTGTGGCTCTCCCCAGTAGAGAACATGGCATATTTCAGTCATATCATTCAGTGTTTTAGCATCTGTAACGAATATAGTGTTACCAAAAAGAAAGTGAAAGCTGTAAATGGGAGGAAGACTTCCTGAAACAGGTTTTGTGGATTTTACTGACCCAGGACAGTGGCGTTCAGCTGATCTGTTTGTCCTGTCTAGCTCTTAGAGCACAGCACTGTCAGAGAATAGGGTGTTCGGCAGCTGTGTGTGATGTTTAAAGTGTAAACACTGTGTAGCCTTCCCTTGATATACGTCACTTTGTTCCTGAAGAACTGCCATAAACAGAAAAAAAGACATATACCAAAAACTAAAAATCCTTATTTTTTTTTCAAATATTAATGTAACAGTGAACATTTTTTAGTAAGTTCTTGTTTGAAAAAGATCATGTGGAGGATATCAGTCTTTAAATGAAAATCCTGGTAAGAAATTATCTTTTAGGGAGGAGAAAATATACAGACAGTTAAGGTAAATCGGAGGGTGGCTGCAGTGTGAATATTAGCTTACCCAGTGTCCTCTCAGTAACCGCGATTCCCTTAATATTCCTACTATAGTCTCACATGACTCCCTCTCTTTCTTTCTCTTTCTTTTATTAGAATAGTACAGCAGTTTCTGGCTGGACTCTTTGCTAACTCTGGAGCCCCAGGCACCACCCCTCTGTCATGGTAAGTCGTGCGCTGTCACTCGCTTGCCCTGTGTTGACAACTGATGGCCTTCCTCCTCTCCTCTTCCTCACAGGACGGGCATGCTGCACTCGAACCCGGGGGACTATGCGTGGGGGCAGGGCGGGCTGGATGCCGTCATCACACAGGTCAGCTGGGGCTTTGCATGTCACTGACCCTGGCTGGGGGGGGGGTCTCTCTGGCTGGTCCTATTGATGGACCATCCCCCCCACCACCACCGGGGGCTTACTGTCCTTGATCCTCTTTTCTTCTCTTAAGTTGCTGGGTCAGTTTGAGAACACCGGCCCCCCACCCGCAGAGAAAGAGAAGATCAGCTCCCTCCCCACAGTCGTCATCTCTCAGGAACAAGCAGGTTAGTCACCTTTCCGGCTCCTTCCATGGTTGTTCCATGCAGCTGGTCACACTTCCTCATGTGTTTTTTACATGCCGTGCAACCAGTCTCTACATGTCAGGGCTCAGTGTCTTTCTGTTTTGGCTTTGTGTTGCTCTGCCTTGGGGGTGGGGGCAGGGGGGTGTGGCTCAGGGACAGTGAACATGCACTGTGAGTTCCTCTGTTTCCTTTTCCAAGTCATGATAAGACTGTTCTCTCCCTTTAGTGAATGTGCCCTGACACCTAGTTGTGTGTGTGTGTGTCTGTCTGTGTCTGTCTGTCTGTGTCTGTGTGTGTGTGTGTGTGTGTGTCTCTGTGTGTGTGTGTGTGTGTGTGTGTGTGTGTGTGTGCGTGCGCGCATTGTCCTCCTGCTGAAACGTATCCTTGACTCCCCTCCCCAAATCTGTTAAATGTCTCCCATCCCAAAATAAAGTCCCTTCCCTTCTGTCCATTGCTGTGTCGCATGTCTATACTGTCACACGCATTTTGTTCTACACGTCTATAGCTTTGGACATTCTCTGCTGCCCCTCACTGGCCGCCCCTCACTGGCCGCCCCTCACTGGCCGCCCCTCTCTCCGCAGACTCCAACATGGAGTGCCCCGTCTGTAAGGAGGACTATGCCGCCGGTGAACCCGTGCGCCAGCTCCCCTGTAACCACTTCTTCCACAGCGACTGCATAGTTCCGTGGCTGGAGCTGGTAAGTGTGCTGTGCCCCTGCGGGGGGGTGGGTACAGATAGGGGGGGCTTTCTGAAGGGCACTGTGGATGGATGCGTGACCTCTGACCCCCCGCCCGCAGCACGACACGTGTCCGGTGTGCCGGAAGAGCCTGAACGGCGAGGACAGCAGCGCCCAGGCCTCCCCAGAGCCGTCGGCCCTCAGCAGCGACCCGCGCACACAAGAGAGATGGTCTTTCTGAGAGATGCTTCCCACCTCCTTTGGCCCCCCGCCCTCACACACGTGCAGGGAGCTGCTTTTTGTCATAATCTCCCCACCACAACGACAACTCCTAGACCTCTTTTTTTTTTTTTTTTCCTTCTCCATCTGTCCTACCCTCTCTTTCCCTGTCCCCCTTTCTCTCATCCCTTCTCTCTCTGTCCTGTTTGCGGCACCTATGAGAGTTATTTTTTCCTGTCGCCCCCCCCCCCTTTTTTTTTTTTCTTTTTTTTTTTAAACTCTGGCCCACTGACAAAGTGATTGTCCCCGTGACGCCCCCTGCAGTCTACCACTGACCTTGTTGGGCTGTACTCCACCTGCTTATGTAGGGTGCTGTTGCTGTTCCAGCCCATGAGATCACCAATAGCAATAAAACTGCCCCCACATAACCAGGACTGGTTACTTGACCAGCATCCTCCCCCAACACAACACAAACACACACACAGTAAGTGCAACTCCCACAGAACCATGTTTTTCAAATCCGGTTGGGCTGCGCTCCTCTATCCTACCTCTTCGCCTCCTCTTTCCATCGTTACTCTGGTCTTACAAGAAGCACGTGTCTCCCCCCCCTCCCCATCTGTCTGCATTCCCCCGTCATTCTCTTGCCTATGTGTATATAGTACAACAACAAATCTCTAGACGTTTATTTCCCCTCGGTTGACGAATTTGTCTTTCGTTCTCATTTCTATCACTCTATTTTTTTAATGTAAATACTTTTAGTCCAACAAGTTCTGATTAAAAAAAAAAAAAAAAAAGATAAAGCATATTGATAATAAAAGATGGTGGATCTCTAAATATTGCAAAGTGCGTGAAAACTATACATATTAGACTGTGTATGAGAATGTATTAATATAAAAAATAAAAACATTAACATCCCACAGCAAGCAAGTTACTTAGGAGAAAGTGTACTTCCTGCTTAAGGCATTATCTTCTGATAAGTTTCACACAGATGTAATGGAGTAAGGGACTTCAGCAAACAGATACTGACTCAATTATACACAAAGGTGTCAGCGGAAGAGGAAATGTACACCCAATAGGAAGTGAGTATGACTGCTTCTCTGGATTGGATAGTAATGGTCAGCTGTTTGTGGGAGCGAATGCTTAAGGTCTGAGGCGATGCGATATGGACACTGATACCATTATGCGTGGTTTTTTTGCAATTGATATTTGGAAAGCTGGTCCTCACAAACCCACATTTTATAAGCAGTTATAGATTTATTTATTTAACACACTATTGTACGAAGTGTCATTCAAGTGAGGATCACAGAGCAGGGTCATCCCACGTCCCGGGTGCAACTTGGGTTAAGGCCCAACAGTGATATCAATCTGCCAGCCACAAGATTTGAACCAGTGACCTTCCCGATCCCTGGCACGCAGTCATCACCCATAGAGCCACTCACCATCCTTAATACCCATTTTTAGTTAGAAGGAATATCCATAAGCCTACAGCATAGTTACCATGAATGTTACGTTTGTAATGACGGCTTACATTAATGACATCCGCAAAACACTGGTATGTTAGCATGTTTTCAGCAGTGTGATTTTGGAAACTAGACTTGGAGAACATTCTCAGGAGGTAGAGATATAGTTTGTATCTGTAGCCAGAGCTAACCTTCTCCTCGCAGAGTACAACCTGCTCTAATCTTTCATTTATCTGAATCTGCAATAACTAAACATTTGAAATGTCATTCTGTACATTACCACATGTGGTACAGTGAAATTTGTACAAATTCATACTGTTAATGGAGAGTAATGAGTCAGGAACTCGTGCAAATCACTGAGTGTAGGCATGGTTCATATCAGATCAATCATCCAGGTGAGTGTTTCATCCTTTGATTGGGGGCTGCCAAGCCTCTTTGGGGCATGTCTGTCCGTGGGCTGGCTGGCTAGCAGGTGCGTCACCGTGTGACCCACACCAGGGTGAGCACGGACCGCGCCGGGGAGACAGCCGGGATGTAGCCGACGCTCGGGTCCCACACTTCAAACGGCACATCCTTGCTGGACCTGGAGCAGAGTGACAGCGGCTACTTAGACAAGGGGACGCTAAGAAAATGCAGAGGAAAGCCTGTCAGACGAGCAGGTCTCACCTGTTCAGAACCACCAGCACCGTGGACCCATCCAGTCTGATGAATGCACAGCTCTCCAAATCAGAGTGTGTGTTGAAGGACACGCCCACTCTCTGTGACTCTGCCCACAGGAATTTACTGGGGGGGGGGGGGCACACCATATTAGCCATATGCTGGGTCGTAAGCTATGGACAAACGTGCTGAAAGGCTATATACAAAAAATTGATGGTTATATGTAGTTTTTCTACACAAAATAATATGGCATTACGACAACAGAGACAGAGAGGAGATCAAAAAACAGTCATTCTTTGAATTGTAGTTAATGGTCCACTGCTGCCTTCCAGGGTTGGGGGTTCGAATCCCACCCTTGCTCTGTGTATGGAGTTTGTTCATCCTCCTTGTGTCAGAGAGGATTCCGCTCTCTGTTCACAGGTGTGCAGTTAGTGCAGTTGGTGTGCCCTGTGCTGATCCTGGTTGTGCCCTGTGCTGATCCTGGGTGTGCCCTGTGCTGATCCTGGTCGTGCCATGTGCTGATCCTGGTTGTGCCCTCGCCCTGAACAGCTGCTGATCAGCTCTAGGTCCCCATGACCCTGACTGGCTAAAAGCAGATGGGAGAAGAATGGACAGATTACAGGCGGGTTCCATAGGGTCAGCTCACCTGAAGTGGACCAAGATATAAAAGGTAGGCTGTTTGTAGAAAACGTCGCTGGTCTTGTTCACGATGATGGGGCTGTCCACGAAGTTCTTCACCCAGTTGGGCCCTCCTTCCAAGTCTAGAACCAGGTTCCAGTCGGTCCAGCCTGTCACATAATGGTTCAGGTCCTGAATGGAAAGGAGAGGGAGAATAGGATTTTGATTTCAAAATAAAGAAGCGTTACATATAAAATTTAAAATAACCATGCTGTCATATTGCTGCATGCGTGGAATAGCATCCTTTCTGCACGCAGGATGAAAATTAGATACTAAGATTTCAGGCCGTACAGCTGAGTAGCTCCCATTTTCATAGTTATCCGTGTTAATTAGGATTTAATACCAAATGACACTGGGGAAATAGGCAGGGGTGTATATAGAGGTGGGGCCACTGGCCCGAGCTAAAAGCTGATTGGCCCCCTGCCATGTCATTCATCAAAGTTAAAATGTATCATTGGTCAATGATAAGGTCAGCCCCTCTGTGTGAATTTTGTCCCACTTATGCCCCTCACCTTAAAATATCCTAGAATTGCCCCTAGAAATAGGCTATGGAGGTGACCCTATGAAGGAGAGCGGTAATCCTGCGCCTTCCCGTGCACAGTTCTTACCTCAATGATGTCATGGGCGTACCTCTCCGCCCTGTCCCAGCAGCCCAGCTTCACACCGTGATGCCCGGGACTAAATCCTGCACAGGCTTCTGTGCCGAACAGGTAGTACCCTGGGAAGAGGTGGTGTGTGGTGGACAGGGAAATCTCTGCTGGGATGGCGGGGTCCCAGTACCAGTGAACCCCGATGCCATGGATGTAACGGGAGGCCTGGATGTCACTCAGCACCTGATGAAAAGTCACGGCCAATCGATCGCAAGGTTCCCTCGTTAAGCCAAGCCCAGCTTCTCCCCTGCCCCCCCCCCCCCCCCACTCAGCCCCTGGTCTCTCCTCTCACCACTTTGGCCCAGTGTGGTAACAGAGCCCTCTGGTCGTCGAGAATGAGGATGTTGATTTTGGCATGCTGAGATCGGGCGATGGCCGGCCCCAGGTCACGGGCCACCCAGTCTCGCTGCATCTCCGCGGTGAAGCCAAGAGCCTGGAAGCTGTAGTTGGTTATAAGGCCAGCTGTGGGCTCGTTCCCAGTGGTCACTGCCCAGAAGGTCAGGTTATGCTTCTTGTATTCGTCCAGGAATCTAACCAAGAAGATTGAGGTCGTCTCAGAACAAACAGCGTCCACCCAGGCCTGGTGCCCAAGGCATCATGCTGCTTCTGTACCTACCTCACATGTCTCCTGCATACCTGACATAGTAGTTAGCCCAGGTCTCGTGCTCCTTTCCCCCCGCCTCGCCCTTCAGGGTGCCCTTGCCGATGAGCGCGCCGTTGGTTTTCAGCCAGGCGGGGGAGCTCCATGCACTAGCCAGCAGAGACAGGGGTCTGGGGGACATGGCCTGGGCACGCTGCAGCAGAGGAATCTGAGGTGGTGGGAAATGGGGGCAGTGAATAAAACCCAGCAGAGGATCTGTTGGTGATCCAGATGGGTATGAAGAGTGTAGCAGAGACTACACAACTTACATACCTAAACTCAGCGTAACCACGGAAACCACACCAGCAGTTGGCCTTGGACTATAGCAGCATTTCCCAATACGGTCCTCGGGGACACACAGTCGGTCCATGTCGGTCCCCTCCCAGCCCCCTGCCAGACGGCCCACATTTTTGCTACAGGGAGCTGGGAGGGAGCAAAAACTTGGACCGACTGTGGGACTCTGAGGACTATAGAACAGAGGATTTCTCTCCCATTTTCATCCCAGTTCTGTGTCCTTCACTGGTCCCTCCCACCTATTTATCAATGAGGAGCAGGCCGACCTTCATCTTCAGGTCCTCGGGGGCCAGACTGAAGTTGAGCAGCTGGAAGTCTCCAGGTGTGTCAGCGTAGGTGTAGAGGCGACTGGAGAAGTCGCAGCTGGCCATGGGCACACGGACTACGCTGTACTCTGCACCTGGGCAGCGAGGAAGGATGGGCGTCATGCCACGGCAATGGCTCCTGGCAGAGGGGATGAAGTGACCCCAGACCACAGGGCAGGCTTCACCAATTCCGGTCCTGGAGGGCCAGTCTGTGACACAGTCTGCAGATTTCCCTGCTCAAACACACCTACTGTATCTGGGAATTAGCTGGTGAGCTGAATAAGGTCTATTTGAGCAGGGAAACCTGCAAACTCTTTGCAGACTGACTCTCCAGGACCAGAATTGTGGATCCCTGCCATAGGGACACATTTATTAGGTACAACTAGCTATTACCAAGCACGACCCACTTTTGCCTCCAGAACCTCTTTAATGGTAGATGAGTTGTGTTTCAAAGAATCCTGTTATAGTAACCTGTTTCTGGATATTTTTTTTGTTCTTCATTAAATTGTAAAATTGGGGTCTCCAACTAATTTTCCCCGACCTCCAAATTACACCAGCAGTGCAAAGTCAAGGTCCGTTGCATTGGAACTGGGGGGAGGGGCAGTGCAGATCCCCTTGTGATAAAATAAAATTATGGAATTTTCCAACCAGGAAATTTTCTGAGCAGTCCAGACCCCGATGTGCTTCCGCCAGTTGGTGACCACTGCCGAAGATGCTACAGTGTGCAATTCTGAGATGCTGTAACCAACAGCTCAGGCACCGGCAATAAAACTGAGTTTAAAAACTGCTTAGATCAGGCTTCTTAACAGCTGCTGTGCTTTGTCAAGCAGTAAATGATTCTCTTGACCTTATCTGTGTGATTGTTTATGTGTTCCATTGCAGTCACATGATTCACCACTGGGAGGTACAATAAATTGGTCTCTGAATATATTTAATATCCATTATAAAAATTATTATAGTTGTAATTTTCTCCTGGGGGGGGGGTGCTGCCTGGAGCCCTCAATCTATCAAGATGTCCAGCACACCTGCTACATGTGACGTCGCCTCTACCAATGACGTCCGTGCATCCAGCTCGCCTGCCTTCTGGTTGCCTGGCGACTGGAGGGAGCGTTGGCACCAGCTTGCCATCTCCCCCCTGCTCCCTGTTTGTGTCTCAAAATTTACTGTATTTGACTCTCCCTGCCGGCCCCTGGGGGATGGGCTCCCCCTTGAGTCTGGTTAGGGTTAGGGTTCCCTCTGCTGCCCCCTGGAGGATGGGCTCCCCCTTTGAGTCTGGTTAGGGTTAGGGTTCCCTCTGCTGCCCCCTGGAGGATGGGCTCCCCCTTGGAGTCTGGTCCCTCCCAAGGTTTCGTCCTTCTAGGGAGTTTTTCATTGCCACTGTCGCCTATGGCTTACTCACTGGGGGCTTTGGGTGGGGATGCTGTAAAGCGCTTTGAGACGATGTAATGTTGTGATAATGCGCTATACAAAAATAAATTTGTTGTTGTTTGTTAATTATTCTAATTGTTTTGGAGGCCATCTAACTTCAATCAGCACCAATGTCCAGGACCCAGATACCCACCCAATAGCAGCTTTTATCAGGTGATGAGGAGATTAGACCCAGTGCTATTCCGTGAGACACGCTGCCTGAGAGGGGAGGCGAATATAGTGCCCCATAATACCGGGGCTAGATCCTCCCACACCTCTGATCAAGCACACCAAGGTGATGATTGCAAGCGAGGATTTCAGTCAAACACCTTCTCTGAAGGATGTTAGTCTGAAGATACAGTGTGCCGTTTACAGTATGCACCTCACTGTTCCGGTGGAGAGTGACCCATCACATACTAAACATCTTCCAGCCAGGTACCAAGCAAACCCAGGTCTACTAAACTTCTGAGGTCCAGAAAAAGTCCTGTCCTGTCTGTCAGCCATTCCCCAGTTACCCTCGGGAGAGAAGTACTGCTTCAGCAGGCTATCCTGGGCTCCAGGAGACAGGGAGAGGATGTTCATGGCTGCTGCATCCGTCATGGCCCCCCCGAAGCCTTTGATCTTCTGATACTTCTGGCTGCTGTCGATACTGAGTCTGAGAGCTGAGGGAGAAAGACAGAACGGAATTGGGGAAGTAATAATGTAAGGTGAAAGGAAAACGAGAAAGGAAACTGTCAAATAAGCAAGGTGAGCAAAACAGTTATCAGGAACCACTCCACTAAAACCCCCAAAATAAACCTAACAGTTTAAGCAATCAGATATTAATGTTATCAAATCTATGAAATTGTGCTTGAAGGGGACAAGGAAAAACATCCACCAATCAAGACAGTGAAATAAAGTTGCCCACTCACCTGCACCAGTGGTGGCATTCTGTACCTGCTCCAACAATTTTTCAAACCTCTTCCCTGCTTTGTTGGTGGTGAAGGACCAAAATTGCCCCGCGGGGGGCAATTTAATCACCCCCGGCAAATCACAGTAAGTAGAGTTGCATTCGCACACCACTGACCCCTGACCAAAGTCCCGCGGCACACACCCATCGCCACCTGAATGACACACATCACTGTTTTTATTACATATGCGAAAAGATAATTAGCAATGCAAACAGTAAATGACAAGACATGCGACAAAACTCCGTTTAAAACTCCCAGAAGGTGGCGGCATTCGTAAAAGAGGAAGACGTAAACATATAATGGACCGTATTTATTTACTTTCATTTGAAATGTGGTGCACTGGATATTCTGTTACAAACATACTGACCTCCGTATCCAGTAGCTGCCAGAGTAAGAAGTAGGCAGGCGAGTGGTAGCCGTATCATTCTGTGTGCAGAAATGGGACGTAAGTATAATTTACGCCATTTGAAGAAAAAAAAACTAAACAAACATGTTGATACAATGCACATGCCGTAGGTGTTAAAAAACCTACATCACCTGACACTACTACAGAGTCAACAAGTCAAAAGCGGCAAATCATTCGTATTACGCAAACATCATGTAATATATAAATTACATTTCGTCCAGACTTATGAACTGTCCAGTCCTTCCCACTTGAAAACAGACCAAGGATCCTTTATGGTTTTTGCTAGTTTATTTAAACTTCAGGAATGACATTTCACTGTCCGACCATCGCTTTCGGCATCTGTCCGATCACTCTTATATCCGCGTTTAATGTTTATGGACCCCAACTGTCATGTGCCTCCTGCAGCGCCATCGTCATGTGACTTATGCAGCACTGCGGTCACGTGACCTCGTAGCAGCGTCCATACATCGTTCTGCCGCTGGGTGTCAGAAACGAAGCACTGCGTACTAAAGGCAACGAAATAAAAGAATAACTGTCTAATTTTGCACCTGCGATAACCTGTAAAAGTACAACGATAATCCAGTTATATTTCATTAGTTAGTTATGAGGTTAGACATGAACGGGGTTTACCATTGCCTTTTTCTGGGCAGTCTGAAGCAGTGTCATTGCCGTTGTCACCACTGTGTTCGTCCTGTACCAATAGTCCTGTATCACCGCTGACCTATATTAGTTTCCATTTCAGATGGGAGAGTTATTGAATAGGGTGAAAAATGGACTGTCTCTGGAACAGCAGCAATAGAGTATCCAGCACTCAAGAAAAAATGTGATGTGATGAAGGACCTAAAGAAAATTTGTTCTAATGTAAGAAATACACAATATAGACAAAAGTATTGGGACACCTGGCCATTACATCTACAGGAACTTTTATGACATCCCATTCTAAATCCATAACCATCAATATAGAGTTGGATGTACATTTTATGTGCTGGGGTTATAGCCAGAGGAAGTTTAGATCTCTGCAGTTATTGAGTCAACAGAGCATTGGTGACTTTTACATACTATGCATCTCAGAACCTGGTGACTTTGTTCTGTTACTTTACGCTGTCTGCCACTTCGTGACTGAGTTTCTGTTGTTCCTAAATGCCTCCACTTTGCACTTACACTACTAACAGTTGACTGTGGAATATCCAGCAGGGAAGAAATTTCACAACTGATTTATTGCAATGACAGTACCATGCTTGAATTCACTGAGCTTTTCAGAACAACCAATGGTTTCACAAATGTTTGCAAGCCGGACTGCATGCCTAGGTGCTTGATTTTACATACCTGTGGCAATGGATCTGAATGAAACACCTGATTTGAATGACTAAGATGTGTACCCCAATACTTTTGTCCATACAGCATATCAGAAATGTTCAGAATACAGCATTTTAGGGAGAGGATCAGTGCCTATGAACTTTGGTACTGCTTACGACATTTAAGAATGCCCTGGACTTTCACCATAAGCACAAATGATGAGATTAAAGACAGCAGTGTCTCGCATAGCCAGGGTTGGGGGGTTGAATCCCACCTGCACCTTGTAGATGTGCAATTTGCCAGTAATCCCCATGGTATACAGGTAACCTCCATGGATGAGTTTCCCCGAAGCCTCCTTAATGCTACATCTTTGTAAATCCTACCTTTTAACATTATGAACGACACAGCATCACGAGGGGTTTGGGAAGCACACCCCAGCAGGCTAGAGATGTGCGTTTGGGTGAAGCAGCGTCTCTAAATTGCTCGTACTGTGTGTCCTGCGATGGACTGCCATTCCGCCCAGAGCACCCCTGCCTCGGCCTGGGATAGGTGTCAGGACCACCCCATGCACCTGCACCCCTTAAGCAGCTGAAGAACAGACTGGTTTTGAGGAGGCCCGAGAAGATCATGATACTTGGAAAACGTTAGATGATGATAGGCAGCAAGATGGAGGGACTGAATGCCATCCGCATGCCTGCGGACTCAAGGAGAAGACATTCTGGAGTAAGGCTATCAGTGTAGCTGCCATGAGCCAATGACTGCTATTTATAGCAGTGATTAAAGTACTCAAAGCAGAAAAGTTACTGACAATTATAATTTCCATAAATAATTTCTAACCGTTAACATACACAAGTTCATTATGCCTGAGAATATTTATTACAACCTTGACGTGAGATAATATCTCCCAACAGCATCTACGCAAATTAGGTCATTTTGTATGATGACCTAGCCACCCCCCCAAGTCCACTGGAAAACACTGAACACACAACCGGCATGTGAAACGTTTTATTTCAGAGTATTTTGGGCAGGAAGCGGCGTAGAATGTCACAGGAGGTGTCGTTTTCAGGTGGATGAAGACGTCCCTTCACAGGGACGCACAGAGGCGTTCGAAAATGGCGGGGTTCCTGTTGCAGAGGAATATCAGTTCTTTCTTTCCCTCCTCGGTGTGACCTATAGGGGGCACACTCATCAGCAGACAGCAGTAGCACGTGGCCCGGTGGCTCGGCTCATACTGCCCGCCACTCACCGTACGGATGCTGCAACCAGTTGCGTTCCACGTAGTACTGGTAGCAGCTTTCGAACTCCTTCTCGTCATACGGTGGCACCGGGACGGGAATGAAGGGCTCGAGGCTTTCGAAGCCCTCCTGAAGAATGAGGAAAAGGTGCATGCGAGACGTCAGCACTTCTCACCATACAGAATATTTATATTTAGTTATCAACCTTCTGCTTTTATGCAAAGTGACTTACAACAGGAGGAACAGTTACAAGTGACATGTGCTCTCTGGAATTTGAACCTACAGTCTCTGTATTGTCAGCACAATTCTCTACTTGTTGAGCTACAAGATGCACCATAAAATACATAGTGACAGTATTGCACTCTGGTAAAAGGTAACGTGAAGCTGCTAAACAGCTCCTACAGTATTTGATGGTTGGTTGAGTAATGCTGGCTTCTGCCAGAGCAGAAACATTGTCAGGCATAATATGCAAAATGTGTTTGCTTTTTCCATTTTTAACCACTTCTCCTGAGACTTCGATGACTCAGAACAACAATGTTAAGCAACGATACCTATTTTAAACTCCATCAGCACCAACACCACTTGAGGTGCTAATGAACTAAACCTGTCTTTCCCACCAACGTGCAGAGCGACGGCGTTACCTTTCCCAGAAGGCTGTGGGGCAGGTAAGCAGTGCGCGGGGTGAAGAGGGAACCTGTCTGGGACAGAGTCGCAATGATGGCACCTCCACACTGCGAAAGGGGAGGGGGCAGGTTAGCAGGAAAGTGAGAGCACTGAGGACTGAGGCCAAAGAAGGGAAGCCAGGAAAATCGTAAGGGGTGGAGCTAAGGAAACATCATAAGCCCCACCCCCATTTTGCTTACCCAGTCGTTCTTTAGCATTTTCCTCAGGTTGTGAACCACAGTCAGCTCCTCAGCCAAGACCTGATGGAGTCAGAGACAGATAGCGTGAGGCAGGCAGTCGCACGGCGGTCCGTACTGGGCCATGGTGGCTTTCCCAGTGTCGCCGACTCACCTCGCTCTTGTCCTCCTTCCGCAGCGTCGTCCTGCCCCAAAGCGCGTTCACCCCATCCACGGCCACTGCCAGCCTCGGACCGCCGGGGCCCCCGCACTGCGTCCGCAGCTCTCGCATCAGCGCCCCCATCACGTCGCTGCTGCTCTTCACCCTGGTCAAGCCCTGGGGGAACAGGCAGGTGTGAGGATCAGAGGGTGCAATACCCTTGACAAACACCAGCTCTGAAGGGGGCACCATTCGAAGAGTATTAGAGTGGGAATGGGAGGCTGTAAGGAGGAAGACAACGTTAAATACAAGCTGAGGGAAAAGTAAATGGCACTACCTTCTCCACCAGCTCCCCTAGAGGGCGCCCCTCCTCAGTGCTCTCCCGTTTAGTCCACACGTAGCTCTTTGTTGTCTTTATCTAGGAAAATGACACACAGACAGAGCAATTAGGGCCAATGGTCTACCATCGAGGCCAAAGCCCACAAGCCTGGTCCTGCTGCACCTCAGAGAGGAAATGTTTGTTGGTGACACCAAAGTTCTTCAGCCACTGTGAGGCCAGGACTGGCTGGTCCAGGCGCGCAGGTTTATACGACGATGGGAGGAGCTCCTTGCAGTTCTTGATCCACAGGTGAGCTGAGAGGACAGACAGGGCATGTCGTTAGAGAGATGGATTCCACGAGAGGAGATTTGGCATCGGGGGCAAACGGTCAGCAGAAGAGTAAGATAGGGCAGACTGGGCATGGCCTCACCATCAGGTATGTGAAGGACCAGCCAGCCCTGGCTGAAGCAGTAGTGCACAGCATGGCACAAGGCCATGGTCTTCCCGCTGCCTGTTATCCCATCTACAGCACCAGTCAAGGTCAAGGGTTCTGCAAAGGAGCACCCCTCACTGTGTAAACCCAGCATGGAAATGCGCGCGACCCATAGACGCTGACAGAAAGCTCTTAGATGCCGGCCAAAATGAGGGTTCTATATGTAGGAGCTTTCAGGAATGACTACTCATAGATATGTGGGTGAGGGTGCTGGTGAGTGTCACGGGGGGGGGGTACAATGGGGCAGGGGGCTGGTGAGGATACACAGTAGGTATCGCAGGGCTGGCTGTCTGTAGTCGGCCCTCTTCAGGTGTGACATGACCTCGAGGGCAGGCTGGCGCACCATCACGCAGGACTCATTGAAGGTCTTCATCTACACGGGGCAGAGCAGGATCAGAAACTCAGCAACCTAAATAGACAACCCCCCCCCCCCCCCCCCCCCC